TAATAGAATGAACCTAGATTCAACAGTTATGAAGATTCATCTCACTTGCTTATTTATTTATTTATCTATTTTTTAAATTTTAACATTTATTCATTTTTGAGAGACAGACAGAGACAGAGCATGAACAGGGAAGAAGCAGAGAGAAGGAGACACAGAATCCAAAGTAGGCTCCAGGCTCTGAGCTGTCAGCACAGAGCCTGACGCGGGGCTCGAATTCACAAACCGCGAGATCCTGACCTGAGCCGAAGTCCAATGCTCAACCGACTGAGCCACCCAGGTGCCCCTCTTATTTATTTCAAAGCAAATTTTCATTTAGTCCTATATACTTCAGTATACATCTTCTTAAAAGTATGGATTTTTTGGGGAGCCTGGGTGGCACAGTCGTTTAAGCGTCCGACTTCGGCTCAGGTCACGATCTCGCGGTATGTGAGTTCGAGCCCTGGGTCAGGCTCTGGGCTGATGGCTCAGAGCCTGGAGCCTGTTTCCGATTCTGTGTCTCCCCCTCTCTCTGCCCCTCCCCCATTCATGCTCTGTCTCTCTCTGTCCCAAAAATAAATAAACGTTAAAAAAAATTTTTTTTTTAAAGTATGGATTTTTTTTTACATGACTGCAATACCATTATACAGTTTATTTTTAAATTTCCCTTCTTTAAAATATTTTTTACAGTGAGCTTATTCAAATAAAGAACCCAGCAAGCTTTACACACTGCATCTATTATGACACTTAAATCTCACATACTCTACAGCTATTCCTCTACCTTCTTCGTCTTTTCTTTTTAGGCACTGATTTTTTTTTTAAGAAACTGGGTTGCCGATTGTCTTGTAGCATTTCTATATACTAAAAAAAGAAAAATTTCCCATATACTAAATTTACCCGTTTTTGTCTGTTTTCTCATCTCTCTTGTTTCTCTGTTGTCCATATTCCTCATAAACCAGGAGTCAGCTCTGATGGCTTAATTATTTTCATCTTCAACATTTTTTGACAAGAATACTTCATAAGTAATACTGTTTATTTCACATTGCATTCCATTGGGAGATACAGATCTAGTTTATCTTTTTGAAAACGGCTCTACAGTTGTCCCAAATCATTTATTTAAAAGTCTGTCACCACATCCTTGAATTTGAGATGCCATCCTAACTATATACTTGATTTCCATGTGCACTTGTCTATTTTGAGAATTTCCATTCTGTTCTATTGGTCTGCTTATTCATGCTCTAAATTGTGTTGAGTATAACAGCTTTATAGTCTTTTGATATGAGTAGATCTAACCCCTCACTCCTCAGCCCTTGTACGCGCACACACACACACGCACACACACACGCTCCCTTGTCCACCCCGCCCAGTTCTGGCTGTTCTTTACAGAAACATCTTTTTTGTGTGACTTTTAGTAGGAGTGTATTTGTCTTGTTTTTTTTTTTTTCTTTCATTTTCCATTTGCTGTGTAACATATTTCCTGGTGAGAAGATTGATTTCTTAGGGTTTGAAAACCACTTATATTATGAGAGGACTTATCACATGTACGTGTTTACTGTTATGCCAAGTTTAAATCCCAACATAATGAAGAAATATGAAAGCATATCATGCACCCTTATTTCTTGTTTTCTGTGGTATAGAAATACTGACTACCCTTTCAACTTTAACATCGAAATCTTCCACATTCAATACAGATCCGCATTATTGTGAGTCAAGATTTAACCACGTGGTGATGTACCCACTTGGCTGTAGCTCTGGCCTCCATGGGTGCAGACAATGCCATATGCACAGTGTGCACCAGTAAGAGTGCCCCATAGACACCGTGAGCTGCCCACTAGGAAGCTCGGGAAAGACACACCACCGCTACTTGGCACTAAACCAAGGATTGTCCCAAAGGACTTTCCCGCAGCCCTAGATTCACTAGTGGGTAGAGGATGAGTTCCATGTGGTTCAAGGTCCCCTTCATGTTCCCATACAGCTGTCTTGTTTCCTTCCTCCCTCCTTCCTCCTCTTTCCCCCTTCTTTTCATTTCTAAGCATTTTTTTCTCTTTTTCGGTTATCCTGGGTCATTTTGTATTGTTTCCTATCTCCTGCAGATGCAGATACTTTTAGCTTGTTTTCCATTGCTTTACACATAGGAAGCATAATAGTTTTGTAATTTGTGCCTGATAACTTCTAAATCTAAAGTTTTTATGAGCATGTTGCTGCTGCCTGTTATTTCTGCTTATTCTCTCTCAGGTAACTTGTTTTGTTCTGTGTTTGATTCTTTTGAGTGTGAGCTATTTTCCTTGGAAAATTATAGAAAGAAACCTTTGAGAGTAAGGATGGAAGCATGTTCCTAAGGAATACTTGCCGTTGCTTCTGCTGGGCACTTGGACAGAATCACCCACACTCCATGAGGTCAACAACATGACAGTTCAAATCCAGATGGAGCAAGTATCATTAGAACAGAAACAGTAACAGGGCTCTGCTTACCTCCCTAGGTTCCTACTTTTGATGAGACTTTGCACTAGTAACGTACTCTCTTATCAGCTCTTTAGCACTTTTGAGGAGATGCTTTTTACATTTTATCCAAGATTTCAGTTTCCAGAGGAAGGTTGGTCTGAATAACATCGTCCTCCACATAAATGGAAACAGAACTTGATGATCGATTTTTGTCAGGAGTTGAGGCATCTAATCTGGGAGTTCAGGAAAAAAAAAAAAAAACCCTCATTGTCAGCCACAGTTTGATTTTACCATTTGCTGTGAAAGATTTGAAAATTGCTCATTCACCTGGAAGATTTCTATTCGAATTCTAACATCCTTATTGACCCCCTTGATATATGTGAATAGACTATATTAAATCTTGTTTTCCCCATGAGACTGATAATCATTAATGCACTATGAGTAATGCGAGTGGTCACATTTTGGAATCAGTGAGTTTTCCCCGTATTCTTTACTTTTTCACAAGGAGAGATTATTGATGTCGATAAAATGGATTCTCCTTTGCAAACTATGGGGATGAACCTTTCAGAAGAGGAAATTAATGATCTGACACGTGATCTACCAGCCGACGGTGAGTATTTAAGATATGTTTGAATCGGTTAATCTGAGCTTCTATAAAAGAATCTCTGAAAACCCTACTTTGGCATTAAGAAGACGGAAAACATGAAAGATGACTCAGACTGGAAGTAAACATGTTTTGCCCCTTGACATTTTCAGTAACTTCATTTCCACTTGGAGTATGGCCAAGGCCAAGGCCACTATTAGAACTGAACAAAATTAGAGAGAGACACTGCTGTGGAGGGAAGGGAGTGGGGTGCATTAAATAGAAGAAACTTTAACACAGAAAAAAATTTTTAAAATTATAGAGAAAAGAGAGCAGAGCCTGAAGTGGGAAATTATTTTTAATTTCTTTTAAGTAAGCTCTAGGCCCAGTGTGGAGCTCAGTTCACAACCTGAGATCAAGAGTTGCATGCTTTACCACCTGAGCCAGCCAGGTACCCCTAAGTGGGAGGTTATTAAAATAGCATTTCTGTCTTTGCCTCACCATTTTCAAGGACATGTAGAAAGGCAGAATAGGGGCGTTTGGGTGATTCAGTCTGTTGAGCGTCCAACTCTTGATTTCGGCCCAGGTCATGGTCCCAGGGATGTGGGATCGAGCCCTGCATCCAACTCTGTGCAGAGTGTGGCCTGCTTTGGACTGTCTCTCTCTCTCTGTCTCTCTTTCTCTCTCTCTCTCTCTCTGTCTCTCTCATGCACACGCGTGTTCACTCTCTCTCTTAAAAGAAAAAAAAAGCATGATAAAGGAGGAATATGAAGTGTAGGACCTATTTCCTGCACCAAAGGAATAGGACCAAGTTTTCCAGTTACCCTTGAGGGGAAAAGGAACAGTAACCACTCAGGCCTGAATGTGTGGAATGCCTGAATGCTCAGTGGCCCCACTTATGCCTCTGCTTACATCCCATCATTCTGAGCTGGATTCCATGGTCCAAGGACTGACTGTTCCCAAAGCTCTAATCTCCCTTGATGGGCTAGAGACAAAGTCTAAAGTTTAGTACATTCTGAATTGGGGCTAAAAGAATTCTCAAGCTAAATAAGCAAATGTTAAATATCAGCCTGAGAACGTTATAGTAGGGCTAAGAAGTATCTGTCTGGAACATGCCTTAACTATCATATAACCTTAGATGAATCAATACTTGCTCATCTTATTAAGGTGCATTTATTCACGTCATTGTGTAAGATAAGCAGTGTACCCTTAAAAATATTTTTGTTAATTCATTTAATTTATTCTCTAATTTTTACCACTGGTAGTGTACTAGAAGGACCATACAAGTGGTCTTCACTGTCTTGTTTTCTTTGCTTGCAATGGTGTATCCGTGAATGAGACTAGATATGGAACAATCAGCTTTCATAATAGAAAACTATTTTTTGTCTATTTGAGATTATGGTTGAATTTTTTTTAATATTGCTTAAAAAAGCAGAATTATGGGTGGAAATATAGCTATTATTTGAAACTATCCTCTGGTATTGCCAATGATTTCTGTTCCTTATTTTAAAATAATAATTTCAGATCAACCAACATAATGAAAATCATTGTGAGATTAAAAAGTACACATGAAATAAAATGGACATGTGGAATGATTAATCCTTTTTTCTTTAAATCAGAGTTAGAATTTTTTTTTAAGTTAATTTATTTATTTTGAAAGACACAAAGAGAGCGTAAGCGGGGGCTGGGACAAAGAGGGGGGTGGACAGAGGATCCAAAGTGGGCTCTGTGCTGACAGCAGCAAGCTTGATGCAGGCTTGAACTCATGAACCGTGAGATTATGACCTGAGCTGAAGTCGGATGCTTAACCGACCGAGCCACCCAGGCACCCCCAGAGTTAAAATTTTTAAGTTATTGCTTATTGGTGATCTGCTCATCTGAAGAGTTACCATCAGTATTGAGCTTAAAAAGAAGTTTTGTGAAAGATTAAGGCTCAAGCATAGAGCCCCAATTATATCATTTGGGACAGAAAGACCCCATTTAGGGCAAAGCTTTTCTCATACTGTGTCTGTCAGGACGGAGATATGAATTTACCGGAGAGGGCAAGATTCAGTTGAAATGGGACCCAAGTTAAATAGCGAATTTTACACCAAATAGGTGTTATCATCTTTGTTTCTGAGAATTTCCAGTGGCCCCGTAAAACTGACACATATCTTCATGCTTTCCTGACCTCACTAATTGGTTTTACTACAGAAATAACTTTTGGAATGTTCTGCCTCAAAAGATCCAGAAGAAAAACAAGGAAGATTCTCGTTTAGCCTAGATTTAGCAACCAATGAATAAATGTATATTTATCCTGCTCACTGTTCTAATACTTGTTATTGTGTACATGTAAGTGTCACACAGCTTCTGCTAAGAGTCACTGCGTACTTCTAATACTTCAGTAAATATTTTTGAGTTATCCAGGACCTTCATTTGTAAATTTTCCATGGTATAGGGGTTTTTAGATACTGTATACTGTAATTTATTACTTACAATCTAAAATCAGGAATTTTTCAAGTAACTTACCAACAGTGACAGTTTTTTAGGTCGTTTTTCTTTCTTGGCAAAATATAGATCTCAAAAATCATCTATTCGTGAGATATTTCTGTTCTTTAACATATTAATGTCTTTTTAAATATTAATTTGTATGAAATTCAATTTGTCTACTATGTCTACTATGAAAACTATGCAAATCATTAGAGTTGGGAAGCTGAGCTCAAAATGAATATTGCCCTCAAGCAAATCGTACGTCATGCAAATCAAGAGTAAACTGGTCTGCCTGGGTCAGTGAACATGAAAGGAAATAGTAATTAGAATCTCAGTAAAGAAAGAGATCATTTCAAAAGTCCCGTTAAAACAGTGGTGAATAAGATCCCAGTTTTAAATTTTGTTTTCCCTGGCGTGGCCCAAATCATCTTTGGTTTTCCAAAGTGGAAAGCTAAAAATAAAGTCTGATGAAAAGAGGTGACTTTTGAATCTCACACCTTTAGCGTTTTGCCATATGACAATGGATGAAAGCAGTTGTTAAAACAGGCACCTTTATAACAAGCAGAGTGATTATTTTCCATGTCCTTTTGTGCTCCTTGGGGTAGGTGGGGGATAAAAAGTAGCCAATGAATGCCATTGTGCTTCCTGTTTTGCATTTCTCAGCGAATGCCACTATGTATTTGATTTACATTTTCTTACAGTTCATGGGAAGGTTGAAATGAGAACGCATATGGATGGAATGAAACCTTTTACAGGTAAATAAGAGACTGTCACTTTTGTCCTGGAAAATATTTTGCTCACAGGGATGGATGATCAAAAACAGTTTGGGGAAGGGGGTCAAAATGCCACAAAGCTCTCTTACTATAAGTCACCTTTTTCTCAATTCTGCTTTCACTTGGTTGATGTACCAAACTTTGACTGTTTTCCAGAGTTCTAAGGAAGTTGATTCTGATAGTTCTTTCTCACTCATTGTGTTTCGGTGGAAGGATAGTTTCATGAAACAACCCACTCACTGCTCAGCTGTTTTTGCCAATGTCGCTCAATCTTTCTATAAGAAATTACTTTTAAGTAGATCTAGAGGATACAATGTTAAGTGAAATAAATCAGCCAGAAAAAGACAAACACCGTTTGATTTCACTCATGTGGAATTTAAGAAACAAAGGAATGGGGCGCCCTGGTGGCTCAGTCAATTAAGCATCCGACTTCCACTCAGGTCACGATCTCATGGTTCATGAGTTTGAGCCCCTCATTGGGCTCTGTGCTGACAGCTCTGAGCCTGGAGCTGCTTCAGCTTCTGTGTCTCCCTCTCTTTCTCTGCCCCTCCCCCACTCATGCTCTGTATTTCTCTCTCTCTCTCTCACAAATGAATAAACATTAAAAAAAATTAAAAAAAACCAACAAACAGAAACAGAAACCAAAAAAACTAGACTCTTAACTATAGAGACCACATTGTTGCCAGAAGGGAGGTGGGTGAGGGGATGAGTGAAATAAGTTGATGGGATGAAGAGTTCATTTGTTATCATGAGCACCGATTAAGGTCTAGACTTGTGGAATCATTATATTGTGCATTGTACACTTATTCCAGTTACATTGTAAAGCCCTGACAGGATCAAGTTATTGTCATTATGAAGAAAAAAGTCACATTATTCAGAGACAAGAATCAAAATACAATAAATGATAGCTGAATTTATGCGTTTTCCATCTAGTATCTTAATTTGCTGGCCAATTATGAAACAAATTTGTTCTCAGCAGGGCAGACTTGTTCCCAGAAATAAAAGACCTTCCTTTTGTAAACACTAAGGGGTTATGTTCTATTATGTGACTTCCCCATAATTCTGTGTAGATGTGTCTCGTCCCCTTCCATTTCCTCAAATGGGGGGGATGCGTTATAATGAGAATGAATTGTTCACCATTTCATGGAATGATTATTCTCAGACATTAATGTTCTTGTATTTTCAAAGGAAAAAAGGTTCATGTCAGTGATCTGGAGAAAGTTCTGGGAAGCATGGGGATCGAGCTCACAGCTGAGGAGCTTAAAAAGCTGCAGGAAACTCTGCCAATTGATGGTGAGCTATACAGAAGCCACAAAGACTTTCTAGGGAACTTGGTTTTGTGGCCCGTGTGAACAATTTAAAATTTTTACCTGTCGAGGGCTTTCTGAAAAATCCTGAAATTGATTAGGAAAAGGCATTGTCATTTGGATTTAGTCTGCAGTTTACCAAACCCTTCAGCCATAGCTTTGCCATCTGAGTGTCAGGTAGTTGATCAGCCTATATCCTCAGGAAGAAAAGGAAGGAAACTGGAGGGGACGAGGAAAAGAAATAAAAGGGGAAGTGAACAGAAAAAGGAAAGGTGTGATTGTTTCAACATAATAGTGTTTCCCTCAGCTGTCAGTCTCCTACTTGCCAGAAAAGACATATATTTGTCACACTGAGACAGTTTTCTTTTCCATAACTTCTTTTTAAATTTAATACTGAGACAGAACACATGTCCCACTCAGTTACAGTTGTTTTACTGAAGTTATAAGTAAGTGGATGTTCATACCATTTCCCTTCTGACATGAATTGTTCCTTTTCCTATAGCTGCTGGAAACGTATTTCAGAATGCAATGTTGGATGGGGTGAAATCCACTCAGGGTAGGTTAAAAGCCTAATAAGAAAGGCAGAGACATCTGAAATCTTCAAGGTTCACATTTATCATTTAGACACGAGTCCTGTCTAGCTTCCTATGTATAGATCACTTAGTTACTTTCTTTCATTTTAAGTTTATTTACTTTGAGAGAGAAAGATGGTAAGTGGGGGAGTGCAGAGAGAGAGAGAGAAGGGGAATCCCAAGCAGGCCCTGCACTGACAGTGCAGAGCCAGTCGCAGGGCTTGAACTCCCCGTCGCTGAGATCACGACCCGAGCTGAAATCAAGAGTCAGATGCTTAACCGACCGAGCCACCTAGGCACCCCAGTTACTTAGTTACTTTCGTCATCGTAATATTTTACGCTATAATGTCTCAATCCATCTTGCTAGGAATCCATACTCAAAACCCCAAAAACCTAATCATACACAGCAAATTATGAAGAAAAGAATTACCGAATTTTTAGGGAGTTGTGTAAGGAAAGCTTGTTATGAAGGAAGATTGAAGGCACATCCATAGAAACAAAAAGTAGGTTAGGGTTGCCGGGGGCTGGGTGGAGAGGGAAGTGGGGAGTGAGTACTTAATACGTATGGGCTCTCCTTTGGGGATGATGAAAATGTTTTGGAACTGGAAGTGATATTTGTACAACATTGTGAATATGTACCAAATTCCACTGAGGTGTTCACTTTAAAATGATTGATTTTATCTAAAAAAGTGCTAAGATTCTGCTTGTTTTTAAGGTTACCTTATGATCTTCACTCTGTTTTAATATTAGTTAGTTAATAAATTAGTGAGGTCCTATCATCAAAGCTCATTCCTATTCTCTCTAATATTGGTTATAATCAAATCACGTAGCCTATCCCTTCATGAGCTGTTTATAATACAGGCTTCCATTCAAGGTTCAAAGGAAGAATTACTAATTCTGATTTTTCTGTTGATTATTTAATGCTCTTAGACATGTTAAATGGGAGTTCATACAGAAAAGTAATAATCACAGAAGTACATTTTCTCTTTTGTTTTTTATTGTAATAATGACAAAGTATATATATTCAGAAAACAATTCGCATTCAAAAATATATTTCTAATATTTTAAACTCATTTTTTTTTCATGTTTCGTTCCTGTATGTTTCCTAAGCAGGCAGAGTTAAGGTGAATAACCTGGACACTGTCCTGGAAAACTTGGGAATCAAGCTCACACAAAAGGAACACGAAGATGTGACAGAAAATCTACCACTTACCGGTGCGTGTTTCACATACTACTGTATCTTACAGGAGACTTTCTGCACTTGTACATGAGTGTGTCCATAATTAGTTTTACCTAGTATCAAAATGACATTTTTGCAAAGCTTAGAGAAGAAACTAGGCTTCTCTTCATTTCTATAAGCCCCATATCTTTAATCTCTTCTCTTTTGGATTCCAAGCATCACACACAGAACTATTATAACTACTTTCTGATCCAGTAATGAATTTACAAGGAGCAAAATGAATCTCACAGGCTGGCGAATAGAAAGGAAGGAAGAAAAATATGACTAATTTCCCTATTATTAGTATCCCTCAAATAGTTGTGTCCTAAGCCCATTAATCACTTTAACTTTTACAATTCCGTGTTACAATTCTCAGTGGACAGTATTATCCACACTCCTATTTCCAAGTGTCATTATATGCTGAAAACTTCTAGATGTTTTTCTGCAGCCCAAATTCCTCCCCAAATATGGGTTGGGTAAAACCACATCCAGATTCCTGTTGGGTTGTATCTGCCAAATTCATTCTTGCTCAGCAAAGCCTCAGATCTTAAATTCACTATATTTAAAAATACCTACCCCAAACTATCTCCTAATTATACATTCCCTTTCTCAGCTGGTGGCACCATCATGTTCTTAGTAAAACAAATTTAAAAATTGACATTTTTCAGGGCACCTGGGTGGCTCAGTCGGTTAAGCCTCCAACTTTGGTTTAGGTCATGATCTCGCTGTCCATGAGTTCGAGTCCCGTGCTGGGCTCTGTGCTGACAGCTCAGAGCCTACAGCCTGCTTCAGATTCTGTGTGTGTGTCTCTCTCTGCCCCTCCCCCAATTGTTCGTTTCTCTCTCTCTCTCTCTCTCTCTCTCTCTCTCTCTCAAAAAATAAATAAATATTAAAAAAAAAACCGAATTGGTATTTTTCACTGCAACTTTTTCTTAGTGCCACATCTCATTGAATACCAAGTCCTACCAATTAGGAGTGCTGACTATTTCATACATCTGTGATCTGACCCTTGCTTTCCTTTTAGCTTTATTTTACATTATTTCCTGCTTCCACATTGCCCTATAACACTGAGGTGTCTGAACCATAGTATTGGATATAGGCAGGGTTCAAGATTCTTATATAGTTGGCTCTCCACCCTGTTGCAAAGCAGTAGCTATAAATGGATGAATTTTAGCGGGAGCATCTCCTGATTTTATCGTTTGCTCTACGTCAACCCAACTACTCTATTACCGTATGTTTACTTGTCCGTCTCACCCCAGAAACTGACTTGTTCAGAAATTATATTAAATTTATTATTAAATATATTTTAATCTTTAGTGCCTCATATGGTGCCTGAAATTTAGTAGATAATTCATAAAATTTTCTTCAATTAATATACAGATCTTCTTTGTTATTTAATGCTTATACCATGGCATCTGATTTGATTATCCAATTGTCCTTTTCCACATACTCTCCAACTCCTAGAACAAAAATACTTAGGCATATTTCACCAGGCCAATTCTTGTCTATAAAATTAATCTCAAAGTTTACCTTTTCCAGAGCTCCCTGATCCCTGGAATTCACTTTATTTACTCTTCCTCTTAGTTTAAAATTCATCCTATTCACACATGTATTATTATACACTTAGCATATTGTATAAAAAGTGAGTGTCTTTATATCACTCTTCTTTGTTTATGAACTGTGATTTTCTCGTAAGTAGAAACCATACGTACATCATTTTATATTTAGAGGCAATAAATATTGAAGAATGAATGGAATGATGGAATAATTAGACTAAACAAATGAAAAACAGTGAAAAATACAAATAATTCAAAGTGACAGAAAGTCTTCAAGAGGAACGTCAAATATAGGCTGGCCTTCTAACACTTCATTTGAGCAGTACATAACCAAAGGGCTCCAAATCATTGGTATAAATGTTATCAAAGCAAAAAGACAATTGCCTAATCATCACTCATGCAGTTTTCTGCTTTCCAAAGAAGGTTTGGCAGAAATTATACTCATTTTGAAACAACCAGCAACATCCTGGCCAATTTCAGTGGCATACAAGGGAATACTTGTTCATACTCAGCACACGGGTGCAAACTTGGCCTTCTCTTGAACCCCCCCTCCCCCTCAGAACCATCCTAATTCCAAGTTATTCCCAATAAGGCATAATATTCTTCTAAAGTTTATTGCTTTTTTTATGACTCATTACCCTTTTTTAAAAAAAAATAATTACTAGTGTTACACAAGGACTTCATGAAGCCTTAGGACATAGGAGAGCAAGTCTGCACATTCGACTCATCACATAGAATTTTTATTAACCCATTAGCTTTCAGTGAACTGTTGAATCCCCTTTGTAACTAGTTATTATGTTACCACAAGTCCTTTCAGTTTGGAGACTCTCTGAAATATCTACCCGTCTTTTAGGGTTAAAGAGAAATACATACCTATCTTTACACACAAGTATATGTAGTGTTAATAGAAGAAACAGGTCACCAATTTATGTGATCAAAAATCCCAAGATAGTTGTGATAGACAAAGAAACTAGAGAAAGACAAATTGGGAAAAAGTAAGAAGACAAGAAAGGTGGTCCCCAAAGACTCCTCTGACAAATGTGGCTGAACCAAAGCTGATAAATTGCTACACAGCCAAATAAGTCACTGGGACCTTTCACCCTGCCAGTAAGATGGAGAGCAGCCTTCAAATTCAAGAGGTACATTCAAGACTCCATTTCGTCCAAGAGATAAAGACTCTCCCTCAACTAATATGGAGTTAATTCTTTAAATCCAGGGTTTATATCCTTATAGTTGCGTCAGATAAAGCAGTGGAGCTAATGAACTTCGATCTCTTATTTCCCAATTTGCCCTATTTTTTGTCTGTTTATATATGACTCTCTGGCCTTATTACCTTATTTTGGCTTTCCTTGTAGCTAATGGGAAGGTTGAGCTCAGCACATTGATGGATGCAGTGGCCACTGTTACAGGTTAGTGAACAATTATTGTGACTCTAAGCTCCTAATTCGTACATTAAGTTATATTTTAATGCTCTATTCCAACTCTCCCATCACTACCTTTTTACTCTGCCATTTTACCATTTTATTGGGGAAGTGTTTCTACTTTAATTGTCTAAACTACGGGTTGGCAAACTCTGACCCTTGGGCCAAATCTGCTTCCGTTTGTGTAAACAATTTCATTGGAACACATCCAGCCCATTAGTTTGTGCATTATTTATGGCTGCTTTTACCATACAAAGGTGGAGCTGAGTAGTTGTGACAGAGATCGTAAGTCCTACAAAACCTAGAATATTTTCTATTGTTTATAAACTTTTATAGAAAAGTTGGCTGACTCCTAGCCTAGAGTTTAACTTCAGAGTGATCTTACATCCTAGATTGTTATGGTTTACCACTGAGGGAGATTAATTTTTACTGAATTATTTTTAATACCCTCTTTTACTCCAAGTAGTCCTTGTATATGTGATAAATTGTATGGAATTTTCACTTTTGATATTTACACTATATACTGAAGTGCAATGCTTGATAAAAAAATTCATTATCCTCTGAGGTTTCTTCCAAACAGTACTTTGATATGCATAATCTGAGTGTCAAGGGAAACTGACTTTCTGCAATTGTAGCCTCAAAGTACTAGTCCAGAGTGGGCAGGACAGAAAGGCTCATGGACCCAGTTAAAATGTTTGAGTCACACAGTATTAAATCATTTAAAAACACACAGCAAAAAAAATAAATAAAATAAAATAAAATAAAATAAAATAAAAACACAGCAAAAATGGGGCAGAAATATGGAATACATTAACAAATTCAGGGTAGAGTGAATGGAAGGACTACACTACTTGAATCTAAGGTGTGTGATGTGCATAATAAGTTTTGTGTCTCTCTCTGTTCAGCAGCATTAGTTTTTCCTGCTGCTGATGTGGTTATAAGGACCAGAATTGAGATTCAAGCAGATGGACCACAGATGGAAAGTGCTCTAGCCTGTGACACAAACTCTTTCAGAAAGACTCAGGGTTAGGGGCACCTGGGTGGCTCAGTCAGTTGAGCATCTGACTCTTGACTTTGTATCAGGTCATGATCTCACAGTTTGTGAGATCGAGCCCCATGTCAGGCTCTGCACTGACAGCACAGGGCCTGCATGGGATTCTCTCTCTCTCTCTCTCTCTCAATCTCTCTGCCCCTCTCCCCCACTCTATCTCAAAGTAAATAAACTTAAAAAAACAAAAACAAAAACAAAAAAAGAAAGACACAAGGACAAGTACCTGTTGTTAATAGTTGTAGCTTGCCATTAAGGCCATCAAAGAGCCATAGGTTTTGTGTTCCTTGAGCAGAGGACACAGAAGACCTAAAAATGGTGTCACCAATGGATTGCCAAATTAGAGTCATTTGAACAAGTGTCATAAATATTTACCACATCTTGAATATTTGGTGCCTCAAGCAATGTTAGAGTATCACAAATATTTAGCGCTTCTTATACATTTAGTCTAACATATATTTAGTGAACACGTTCTCCATGTGCATGTAATGCCTCATGAGTATTAAATATTGCTCAGTTCTTTCATTCCCTTCTATCTAACTTACATACCCTTTACTTAAAAACTACTTGTCTGTACTGCAAAACATCTTAAAAGATGTAGCCCATGTTTTGTAAACTACAAACTTGAACTAATGTACTTACTTCACTTGTGTAATAGAATTAAATGTTCTCAAAGGCAAATGCACATTATGCTGAATTAACATATTAAGTAGTGAAGTAAAACCAGACACAACACTCATAATTAAGGTAATAACAGAGACACTGAATTTTAAATATCTGTGATATTTTAAATAACTTGGAATCCCCCAAGCCACTTACATCTTGCTTAAATTGCTTTACTCAAAAAAAAATTGCTTTACTCCATAATTATAGATACTGAATTTTTTGAGTAAAGGCAACAATTCTGTTTCCATGATGTCTGATGGCGCAAAGGTCTCATGCTACTTTGTTTATAGCTGTTGCATGATCTGCTGAATAGATAAATGACTTCTTTTTTTCATATTTTGGAGATTTTAGGTCATAGTCAAACTTTTCATCTACTTACATTTCTTTCTTTGAAGGAGGAGAAGTTAATGTCAGTGATATTCAAAGTATTCTGGAGAAAATGGGGGTAGAGCTCACAGATAAGGAGTGCTCAAAACTAAAGAAATGTCTGCCAGTCAGTGGTGAGTATTTAAAAAAAACAATGTAGCCTTTAAGGAACTCAGACTTGTGTTTATTTTTTGAGAAGTTCTAGAATTATTTCCATTTGATAAAAACAGGATTTAGAAGGAATTATGCAGTTCCAGTTTAAGAAGTAACCCCAGCGGTGCCACTTTGTTTATAGAATCATTGGCCCCTTCAGTCACTAACCTGGTATTAAGTCAAGGAAGTGCCTATTCTAACTTTTGATTCTAGTCAGAAGGCATCCTCAAGAATAAACAGGGACATACAGGAAAGTAAAAAGAGTGAGAAAATACCAGAAAGGGAAAATGGGGAAATTAAAGGGAGGCATAGGGAATTAAGATGTGTGTGTTTCAGCATAGTAGAGTGCCCATGATAACTCCCTCAGAAGCCAGGGGGCCATATTGAAAATTTTCTCTACTTGTTAACTGTTTTCTTGGTTATTTACAATTAAATTAGGCCTTTTCTGGGGGTAAATTATGATGTCTGTCTTTCCTAAATGCCTAACTTAATCTTTCATGGGTGTGGTCTGATTTCTTTCTTTCTTACAGCTGTTGGAAAGGTGTACCAAAATAGGTTGATGGATGGTGTAAAAACCCTTAAAGGTGAGTGACAGTTATAGCAAAAAAGCAGATGAATCTGAATCTGAAAAGCAGACGAGAAGCCTTGACCACTGTGTGTGTATGTGTGTGTAAAACTACATTCATGTTTTTTCCAAAGATCTTTTCTGTATTTATTTTACGAAATGGCCTCCTGTACCATTATTTTACCTTAAGATGGAAGCAAAAATCCACATAAAAGTAGAGCTCTTGAATAACTTCACCCTTAAGGAAATGGTAAACTAGAAAAATGTCTAATCAGCACAAGTAGGTAAAAGGAAGTTTATGTGTATAGTCATGGATTCTAAGATCATGAAGAAATGTCTTCTTTGAAAATTCATGACTATGGACCTATGTTCATGTTGGTTCCAATTCATATTTGCACTCCCTGCATGGCCTAGGAACTCACAAAAATTTAACAAAAAGTGAGGCACCTGGGTGGCTCTGTCAGTTGAGTGTGTGACTTTGGCTCAGGTCATGATCTCATGGTTTGTGGGTTTGAGCCCCATGTCACGCTCTGTGCTGAGAGTGCAGAGCCTGCTTTGGATTCTCTGTCTCAGTCTCTCTCCGCACCTCCCCCACTCACCTGCATGTGCGTTCTCTCTCTCTCTCTCAAAAGAAATAAATATTAAAAGAAAATTTTTTTAAAGTTTGCACCAGCATTGTAGTAACTCTAGTATTCAAGAAATTCATCCTCATATCATGGTCAGAAGAAGTTTCGCTATAAAACTTTTCTTAAATGAACTTGAAACAGAAAATTACAAAAGATGAAAAAATTTTGCCAAAAGGGAATTAAAAGCAAAAATGAACTATTGGGACCTCATCAAGATAAAAGCCTTCTGCGCTACAAAGGAAACAATCAACAAAACTAAAAGGCAACCGTCAGAATGGGAGAAGGTATTTGCAAATGACATATTGGATAAAGGGCTAGTATCTGAAATCTATAAAGAACTCGCAAACTCCACACCTGAAAAACAAATAACCCAGTGAAGAAATGGGCAGAAGACATGAATAGACACTTTTCCAAAGAAGACATCCAGATAGCCAACAGACACATGAAACGATGCTCAACATCACTCATCATCAGGGAAATACAAATCAAAGCCACACTGAGATACCACCTCACGCTGAGTGGTCAGAGTGGCTAAAATGAACAAATCAGGTGATTATAGATGCTGGCCAGGATGTGAAGAAATGGGAACCCTCTTGCACTGTTGGTGGGAATGCAAACTGGTAGAGCTGCTCTGGAAAACAGTGTGGAGGTTCCTCAAAAAATTAAAAATAGATCTACCCTATGACCCAGCAATAGCACTGTTAGGAATTTACCCAAGGGATACAGGAGTGCTGATGCATGGGGGCACATGTACCCCAATGTTGATAGCAGTGCTTTCAACAATAGCCAAATCATGGAAAGAGCCTAACTGTCCATCAACTGATGAATGGATAAAGAAGATGTGGTTTATATATGCAATGGAATACTACTTGGCAATTAGAAAGAATGAAATCTGGCCTTTTGTAGCAACGTGGGTGGAACTGGAGAGTGTTATGCGAAGTGAAATAAGTCAGGCAGAGAAAGACAGATACCATATGCTTTCACTCATATGTGGATCCTGAGAAACTTAACAGAAGACCATGGGGGAGAGGAAGGGGGAAAAAAAGTTAGAGAGGGAAGGAGGCAAAGCAGAAGAGACTTAAAAACTGAGAACAAACTGAGGGTTGATGGGCGTTGGGGGAGAGGGGAAAGTGGGCGATGGGCATTGAGGAGGGCACTTGTTGGGATGAGCACTGGGTGTTGTATGGAAACCAATTTGACAATAAAGTATATTTAAAAAAAAATTGCCAATATATACGATAAAAAGTGGAACCCCCAAAGACTTCCTATGACACAAATATTTTAGATAGACCATAAAATAAGTATGCTTTAAATGACTGAATTCACAAAAGGAAAATGGAAATACTCTTAAAAACTAGCACAGGAAAACATGGATTTGAAAGGAGTCAAAATTTCTAGAAATGAACTGTCTAGCCTGGAAAATTTAAAAACATAATGGTTTTATTGGCAGATGTAAATGAAGAATTAATTGGATTACTGGAATAGAACTCTGAAAAAATTACGAAGATTCCAGCATAAAGACAAAAAAGTAACAAACAGGAAGGAGGAGTAAGAGGCCTGAGGGTCAGAGTGAAAAATCTGCCCGTTTATCCAACAGTATACAAAAGAGCTAACAGAGACAAAGAAAGAAAATGCTAATTTGAAGACCTAACAGTTGGTAATTTTTTGTGATTGTTCAAAGACATGGATCCTAAAACACAGGGCACGTAATGAGTCCTAAAAGGTTGCTTAAGAGGTCTCTGGTTAATCAAATCGTAAGCAAGTCACAGAACACCAAAACAGAACAAAACAAAAAACCCTACAGGCAACCACAGTGCATTCTGACTACCTACAAATGAGCAATTAGACTTATAGTGGACTACAATTGAGATGCCACCTTACACCCCATAGGATGGCGATTTTATAAAAAGGAACAGAAGCGCCTGCATGGCTCAGTCAGTCAGTTAAGCATCCAACTTCAGCTCAGGTCATGATCTCACAGTTCGTGAGTGTGAGACCCACATCAGGCTGTGCTTTGGATCCTCTATCCTTTCTCTGCCCCGCACCCCCCCCCCACCACCACACCCCGCTCATGCTTTCTCCACTCCCCCCCACTCAAAAATAAACATTTAAAAAAATAAAATGTTTTAAAAAGGAACAGAAAATAACAAGTGTTGGTGAAAATGTGGAGAAGTTGGAACACTTGTGCGCTGGTGGTGGAAGCGTGAAATGGTGCAGCCACTATGAAAACCAGTGTGGCAGTTCCTCAAAAACTTAAAATTACTACATGATTCGGCAATTCCATTTCTGGGCATGTGTCTTAGTGCATTCAGGCTGCTATAATAAATTTCCAGGGACTGGATGGCTTATAAACAACAGAAGTTCATTTCTCACAGTTCTGGGGACTAGAGTCCCAAGATCAGGATGCCAGCATGGCGGGTAAGGGCCCTCCTCTGGGTTGTATTTGTACAGTGACTTCGCATTGTATCATTTCAAGGTGGAAGGGGCAAGGGATCTCTGCAGGTTATCCTTTATAAAGACACTAATCTCATTCATAAGGGCTCTGCCCTCATGACCTAATAACCTCCCAAAGGACCCATCTCTTAATACCATCAATTTGAGAATTAGGTTTTCAATATATGAATGGCAGGGGTTAGGGGGGCACACAGACATTCAGGCTTTTGTAGTGCGTATCCAAATTTGTATATCCAGCACTATTCAAAGAGCCAAAAGATGGGCTCAGTCTGTGTGTTCATCAACCTTAAAATGGAAAGAAATTGTGACACAGGCTACAACATGGTGAACGTTGAAGACATTTTGCTAAGTGAAATAAGCCAATCACAAAAAGACAGATACTGTATGATTCTATTAATGTAAGATAACCTGGAGCAGTCAGATTCATAGAGACAGAGGCTGGGTGTAGGGAGGAATGAGGAGTATTGTTTGAGGAGTACGGACTTTTAATTTGGGAAGATAGAAGGTTCTGGGATGGATAGTGGGTGATGGTTCTAAAACAAGGTGAGTATATTCCATGCCACTGAACTCTATCCTGAAAAATGGTTAAATGGTAAATGTATGTCATGCATATTCTTCTATATATATATTTCAATCTCACAAGATGAGAGAAATTATTAGATATTTTTGGGAAAATTTATTCAGAGGAAAGAACCATGTAAACTGTTCAGCAAACAAAAATAATACTTTCCTACTGGCAGAAGCATATGAATTTTGTTTTCTGTATTTCTGTAAATCGTCTTGAAGTTCTGCCACAGTCTTTAAAAGCTAATTATATAAATGGATTCCCACAATTACTCATTGGAGGAAATTCTAATTCCGCCTTTATTACTGACACTCTTAGATACAACTGAATATACATTCGACCTTTTTCTTTAAGGTGAAACCAATATCTATAACACACAGGAATTCATAGCTATTGTCACATTCTAAGGTTATTCAATGTTGCTTACATTCTTCTCTTTCTTCCAAGGAGGGATTGTTGATGTTGCTAACCTAGACATTGCTTTGCAAAACATGGGAATGAATCTCACAGGAATGGAAAATAGCGATTTGATAAAGAACCTACCTGTTGATGGTGAGTAAGCATATACATTTTTGCATCACTGAATATAACTTGAGTTGTGAGCTTCTCTAAAATCATCTCTGAAGAAGTTTGTTTGCCAGTAAGAAGATATTTGTAAAAACTTAGAAATGAGCTCAGAAAGAAAATAAAGTAATATTCTTTCTTGTCATTTTATTAACATATTTCATCAATCTTTTTAATTCTGGATCCAAAGGAATGCTAAAAACATAGTTCTTTGATTAGGACTACAAAAAGTGAGGGAATAGATAAATAATTAGGGGTGAAAATAGCATGAAAAACGGTCTAGAGGAGATGAATACAGAAAAAATAGGAAAATAAAAGAGAAAATGTGGGAGACTAAACATGAGAGGCACATTCCAAAGCCGTATGATAGCACTCATTCATTTTCTCAGAGCGGTCTGCAAACACTCAGGCTATCACATACAGAATTTTGCCTTTTTCTGAAGCTACATAATATCCCACTCCTATTTCAAATTCCATCATCTAAATAAAGGCCACATTCTCAGGCAGCTCCCTTGAAGCTAGAACTAGAAACACTGAAATACAATTGAAGCCGAATGAGGGCTGAAATGCAGTGGTTCAATGAAAATATTATGCTAAGTGAAAGAAGCCAGTCACAAAAGAGCACGTATTGTAGGATTCCATTTATAGGAAATGTCCAGAATAAGCAGATCTGCATGTACTACATATTAATGTTTCCATTTGGATTTTTAGAAATCTTGTCCTCATATAATATACTGACACTCGGTCCTGACACTTTCCCTGACACAGATAGATTAGTGATTGCCTAGGACTGCGGTTGGGGCTGTAGATGGGAACTGCAAATTAATGGCATGAGGCTTCTTTTTTTTATGATGAGGTTTCTTTTGCGGAATATGAAAATGTTCCAAAATTAGATTGCAGTGGTAGTTGCAGAATTCAGTCTATATCCTAAAACTGTTCACTTGTATACTTGAAATGGATGAATTTGTTTGGTATGCAAATTATATCTCAATAAATTGTTTAAAAATGAATATCGGCCTGCTCTGTACTTTTAGAGCCAGAAGATAATAAAGAACAAAAGTGACATGAAGCTTCTATTTACATATTTGTCACCTACAAATTAGACAAAACATAATAATGTGTGCAAATGCAGTGTCTTAGTTGTTTTTGGTCTAGTAAGGAAAAATGAATCTGAGATCCTATAGAATCCCAAATTTCTATCTTTGTAATATGCTTTCATGTTAATGTCTTTAAATATTGATTTAAAAATATACAGAATCTCTACTTTTAAAATTATCTCAAGCCAATTACTGAAGTGATCATTAATTTACTCATAGGGAATAAAGGAGTAAGAAACTCTGTGTCAAAAAAAAAAAAAGTCAGGAACTACTAAATATCAGCTTATTACATAAGGAGATCAATTGTAAGAGCCAGATACAAACATTAATATGTAGCACACAAAAATTGTAAATTCTGTTCCTTGTGCCTGATGTAAACAGTGGAGAGTTTCCCAACGTATAGGAGTCATGAAGCCGACTCTGTGGGAAATGGTGATTTAATTTTATATCTCATCCTTAACTACCAGAGGTTTAATTTTCTGTAGTTCAATGAATCAAAGCTCTAGTAATATTTTAGAACTTCTGGCTCAAGATGAATACAGGATAAAATATTGGAGTATACATATATTGCTTTCTTTTTTAAATTCCATATTGCTAATGAGTGCCAGTGTTAGATTTGTATTTGATTTACGTGGCTCTCTTAACAGATAATGGGAAGGTTGAAGTGAAAAAGTTAATGGATGCATTGAAAATGTTTTCTGGTGAGTGGCAAGTTACTATAAAATTGTAGTATTTTAAAAACATCTCCTCAACTTCCCCAAACTGTTTATATGTCTTTATATTATGTCTCATTGAATACTTGTTTTCAGAGTCTTAGGCTGTATTTATTTGTACAACTTAAATTTTAAAAATACAATGAAGATTCTGTGTCTTGGTAAGAAATCTGGCCCAAATGTTTTTAATAAAGCAATAATATCACTTACCTCACTAATATTCAAATAATCCCATACCTTGATAGGCATATATGAAGAGAAAAATCACATAATTTAGGATCTCCCCAGAATTCTAAGTTCCCCTGCCAAAATTATAAATTTCCATGATTTCCATCATTCTAACTTGCTGGCCAATCTTAAAAGCAAATCTACCCTCTGCTGCATTAGATGCACACAGATCCATCACTAAGAGAGTATGCCTTTTAGGAGATTAAGGACCTGTGTTCTATTTGTGGCCTCCCTGTGATTCTATGTAGTTGTATGTGTTTCCTTTTACTCGCTCGCTACCTCCGAGCCGAAGGTGATCATTTTTTCATTATCTGGAATCATTAGATTCCAAATTGTCACGCACTGATGTTCCTGTCTTTTGAAAGGAAAAAAGATTGATGCCAACGATCTGCTAAAGGTCCTGGGAGCCATGGGGGTCGAGCTCCCTGAAAAGGAACTAGTGAGGCTGAGACAGACCGTGCCTATCGACGGTGAGCCATATAAGTCTCAGAACAGCCTTTCCGGGGACATTGGTTTTGGGGGGTCATTGTCAGCAGTTCTAAATTGTTGTCTCTTTGTTTCTCCTAAAAAGTACTGAAAATAATTTTTAAAACAAATTAAGTTTGCTGATGTACAGATTCAATCTGTGAACCCAGCTCTTTAACCATAACCATATTGCCATCAGAGTTGATGCAGGTTGTAATAACACTACCCAGTCACGCCCCTGAGAGGCCTGCATGATAGGAAGGAAACTGAGGGAAGTGAGACACAGGTTAAAAAAAAAAGGGGGGGAGGGGACACAAAGAAGTAGTGATTTTTTTTTTCCTGCACAGTATAGTCTTCCCAGCAGTCTTCTTGGTTGCTGAACACTGGGTACATTTTTGTCACAATTTTTTTCCTAAAATAATTTTTATTTGATGAGGAGATAGAACAGATTTCCTAGGGAAAGAGTAAAAAAGATTGCTCCTAGAATTACCCAGTTGCCCAAAAACTGTGTGTCCATGTTCTTTTCCTTTGGATATAAATTATGGTTATTCTTTTTTAATAGCTGCTGGAAAGGTGTATAAGAACAGATTGTTGGATGGTGTGAAGTCTGTAAAAGGTATTTAAGAACCATGATTAGCAGAAAAGTCTGCTAAATGTCAACACAAATATCAACACAAACATCTTACCACCAGGTTTTGAGTCATGTCTACATTCCTTTATTTAGATTTTTTTATTTCATTATGTTAAGTATTTTTGCATAATCACCCATGGTATAGTATTGCAAGGGATCCATTCACTCTTGGAGAATATTTCTAAATAGCACCCCCAAAGAATCATTTGAAATCTAGGGGCGCCTGGGTGGCGCAGTCGGTTAAGCGTCCGACTTCAGCCAGGTCACGATCTCGCGGTCCGTGAGTTCGAGCCCCGCGTCGGGCTCTGGGCTGATGGCTCAGAGCCTGGAGCCTGTTTCTGATTCTGTGTCTCCCTCTCTCTCTGCCCCTCCCCCATTCATGCTCTGTCTCTCTCTGTCCCAAAAATAAATAAACGTTGAAAAAAAAAATTTGAAATCTAATTTATACAACACATAATATACAGAATATCATAGGCAGTTTTTCTGAGCGTTTGCCCAACAACAATACAAAGGATTTTGGAGTGACCTTTAATAATTTTATGGCATAAATCAAGTTATTTTCTTTTTTATTTTATTTATTTATTTATTTATTTTATTTATTTTTAAGGCAGAGAGAGAGCATGAGTGGGGATGGGGCAGAGAGAGAGAGGGAGACACAGAACTGGAAGCAGGCTCCAGGCTCTGAGCTGTGAGCACAGACCCCGACGCGGGGCTCAAACTCACAAACTGTGAGATCATGACCTGAGCCGAAGTCGGACACCGAGCCAACTGAGCCACCCAGGCGCCCCTCAAGTTATTTTCTCTAAAACATTCTTTCCTAAAGACCAGTTAACAACAATAGCAGCAACAGCAAATGTGGAAAAGAAGCATGGTATTGTGGCCAAAATGCTTTTTTACTTCCTCTTCCTGTAGGTCCTTAGAAAAAGAGACCAGAAGGGGAAGTAGGAAGGGAAAGAGGAAAAGGGTAGAAGGTTTGCTGCTATTTAATGAGAGAAGCCTCTTGCAGGTGGCACTTGGCCTCCTGACATCCCAGATACTTGGAATAATTCCAGTCAGCAACATTCTTGGAGAATTTTGTGGTGAATGTGTTGTTCATGACAGTTTTCTCTTTGAGAGCATTGAATCCATTTTTATAGTCTTTTCATCTTTCATACACTTTTTGTATATTGCAATAGCAGAACATTGATGATCTGAATCTTGAACTATCCCTCTCAGCTGATACCTTGGCTTTGTTTTGGGGACAGACCTGCACAGTACTCTCTCTGTATTCCCCATGGGGACAGTCCTATCATTGGTATTCTTTCGGCCCCTCTTTTAACAGATGAGTATTACTTAATACTACAAATAGTAACTTTAAACACATAATCACAGCCTGCCACCCAGTAATGCTTCAACCTCAGAATATTTTTTAAGTAGGCTAAATGCCCAATGTGGGGCCTGAACTCACGACGCCAAGATAAGAGTCACACGTTCTACTGACTAAGTCAGCCAGGCACCCCCAACCTCAGAACATTTTATCTAAGTTGTTCTTGACATCATTTTAGGTGATTTACTGAGTCAACCTTATATGCCTGTTCACTAATACAAATAAATTGTAACTTTTTCTTTGTTTTTTTTTATCATACTAAAATGCATGTGAGAAAAAAAATTATATATAATCTTTGGAAATCACGTAATTTTTTTTCATGATTACTTCCTGTTTGTTTCTTAAGGAGGAATGGTTAAAGCCAATAACCTAGACAATGTTCTGGAAAATCTGGGAATTGAACTCACAGAAAAGGAACGTGAAGCTCTGGCAGAAAATCTGCCACTTAGTGGTAAGCATTGTAGATAATAATGAGCCTTAGGAGTTTACATTTATGAACTTGTGTAAGAGAATGTATATTAACTAGTGATATTTGGTATACCAAAAGAAATTAGAAGCATTTGCAAAGATAGGGATGAACAGTCTTCATTTAAGAATAGATCACGTATTATTTAGGGTAAACTACATATTTATTTAAAAACAAACCTAAAATTATGTCCCGGGTAGATGCAGCAGAAGTTAAATTCTTTCCCCCGTGAAAGTCCAAGGCGAGAGTATCTTTGGGTAATGGACAGTGGCTCTTCTCCATTCAGCGATCCAGGGACCCAGGTTCCTTGCCTCTTGGATTCCTTTTTAAGGCCTTGTCATCGTTTCTATCTAATAATGGAATGGAAAGGAGAGCATGAAGGAGAGAGAGTGCACGCATTATTTCCGTAGCCATTCCTTTGTGGAGAACTGGTCACGTGGCTGCACCTAAATAAATGTGAGGCGGAGGTGGGGCGGTAGAGATATAGGATCTGTCTGGGCATCCACTTCCATTTATGATTCTATGCTCTGAGAGGAAATCAGAGTATTGGTAGGTAGTTAGCTGCTTTTTGTGTTTTGTTTTGTATTCATTGACAGTTGCCTCAAATATACATGCACCATGTGATTTGAAGCCCAGGAGGCCTTCCCTAAAAAGTCTCCGTGAGACTAGAACTGAAGAAGATAAAATAAAACGAAATCAAATCAAAATAAATCCATAAAGGAAAACTGTTTCCTAGTCATCTTCATTGAGGTTAACAGTATATATTTCCAGGTAACAAGCCCAACACCAGATTGCAGCAGATAGTTTTGCTTTGTCCCCAGCTGAGGACTGTTAATGCCTAAAGGAGCCTGTAACCAACCACAACTTAGACAAGCCTTGAGTTCCACAATGGGGAAACTGGCTCATTAACAGAAAAAAGGTATAGTCTTAGGCTTCTTTGCTTCTCTTGCACATGCTTGGCTTCTCTGTCACCTGCCCATTCCAGCTTCACGTTCTTCAAGTCGAATCACTTACCTTCTCATTATGTTTTAAAACATCACTCAGAAATGTTAGAAAGACCTAAGGAACAGGGGTTATGGTTTATGCAGTCAGCTATCCTCTTGAGGCTTTTGGTTTATAGATTTGTGGCATTGTAGGCCTTCCTTTATTTTGCTTTGGGGAATGGTGGTGTGCAACCAGTGAGGTTAGTTGGACAGAGCCGTGATCTCAAGAGTGCCATGCTTGGGGTTTAGTGCTCTGATTTGGCCATCAAGAGGGTCTTCATAATTTGCTTTTAAATTTTTTAATGTTTATTTATTTTGGAGACTGAGAGAGACAGAGCGTGAGCAGGGGAGGGGCAGAGAGAGGGGGAGACCCAGAATCTGAAGTAGGCTCCAGGCTCCGAGCTGTCAGCACAGAGCCTGATGCGGGGCCGGAACCCACGGATCGTGAGATCGTGACCTGAGCTGAAGTTGGACGCTTAACCGACTGAGCTGCCCAAGTGCCACAAGAGAGTCTTCACAATTTTATCTTTGAATTTGTGTTTCCTAATTGAAGTCTGATGGGAAACTAGAGCATGGCTGGGGCTCGGCACCCTGGCTCAGGCATGTGACTGCCCCTGCCATTTAGTCCCCAGGATGTATTCTGGGTCAACCACTCCACAGCCTCTGGTATGGCCAACCTCCCTTTCACCACCATGCCTGGCAACATCTGCATCCCCTGACCCCAGCAGGGACCTGGGCATGGTTGCAGGGAGGGCTGGCATTGGCAACCTGTACCTGAAGGCATCTTGTGACAAGACATGGCAGCAGCAGTCCCCACTCTGGGCTGGCAGGGTCAAGCCTGTTCCTCATCCCCTTCCAGGTACCTAGTGTGTCCCCACGTCAAGGCTGCATTACTCTTGGGAGTCGCCTGTCCATAGTGAGTTGAGGCAACCAGTGCATAGGAAAGTGAGACACGTGACTCAATTTTCAGATGTGTGGTTCTGGCGGCAGGAGGAAGGAAGGAAGTCTGCTGCTAGTGAGCCTCGTGCATGCTGAGTAATGGGACCACCCAGGGTGCCTGTGAGGTTCTGCACTCAACCCTAGAAGATGCCATGCCTGTGACGGTGCAACATTTGCCAGCTGACTTATAAACAAAAACTAAAACAAAAACACCACCATGACAGTTTGGGAACAAGACTGTGGAAGAAAAAAAAAAAGCAAAGGTTTTTTTCCTGATTTTTGAACAAGGGGTCCCACGTTTTCATTTCGTACTTGGCCCAGTAAATAAAGTAGCTGGTCTTAAGGGGTTGATCAATCCTTCCTGATATTGGAACAATGCCATATTGCTGTAACTCTCTAGCTTTAGCTAATGATTTCTTTTTTCCCAAGCATAGAAAGGTAGAAACATTTACCCAAACTTTATGCATGTGCTGGTAACAAAAGATTGAGAACACATAACCAGCCATTCCAAGTTAATAGTTGGAATAACTAAAGAAAAGTATTAGTAAAAGATAGAACATGAAAAATGTTTTCAACAGCAATCATGGGAAGAACCTTGCGTTTGCATCAGAAGGGCTATCAGAGACCAAACAACAACATACTTAGCCTACTGTAACATTCCTGCAAGCGTAAGACAGAGAACGCTTTCTTGGGTTAACCCTCTATCTACCATAGAATGAATTCTTTGCAATCCATTGCATAGAAGTTTTTGGCTGGTGAGATTAAATTGTGGGGAGAATCTCTATTTCTTAATTTAGCTCCTTTATCTTTTTATAATATTGCCAAATTATGATATTTCTTACAGCTAATGGGAAGACTGAGCTCAAAAAATTGATGGAAGCAGTGGAAACTATTACAGGTTAATTAGAAGTTTCTATAAATCTAATGTCTTTATTCTTTAGCTAATTTATATTTTTATATAGAACCATCATTTTTACATTCCCTTTTTTATTCTATTCTACCCATTTTTCTTTTATATTGATGAATATCTGCATACAGTTGCCCAGGATTACACATTAGAACATTTGCATTTTAGCACTAATTTTTCAGTGTGAATTTATAGTAGCAAATTTCTTAGTTTCTGGAATATTTGCCAAGAATAGTCACTATTCTTGATTTTGAAAGCCTAAATTTGAATTAGCATAGCTAGCGATACAGCAAACTTTCACAGAGATAAAATTCTGTTATCATTAAGAGATTAGGGGAGAGATAATATCCTTACAAAATAAATGGATCTTATGCCTACAGTGTCCTAATTTGTATTATATAAACTGCATCAGTATGTCTATTACTTTACTAAGCGTAAGAGAGAAATTCTATTTCTACCCCCAATTAATGACAGTGGCTAACAGTTAACTTATTGTGTGTGTTTGCTCATTCAGCTATCGTAGCTGAAGCTGTAAAGGGTCAACAGGTTTGGCGGGGCTGTGGTTAGGCCCTTCTCTCTACTAATCTGTGACCATTTTGTTATGTTGAAGGGGGAGAGGTTGATGTCAGTGATGTAGGAGATGTTCTGGAAAACATGGGAGTAACTGTCACAGATAAGGAATGTGTAGAGCTCGTAAAAAACCTGCCAGTTAATGGTAAGCATTTAAAATATTAATATGGTCTTGAAGGAAGCACACATTTCTTATTTTGTTTATGAGAACTTCTATATACTTTCTGATAGCATAGAAAAAATGCTTTCAAAAACTACTTAGTATGAATGATTTCACTCATGGAATTATGTATCTTCACATACTGATAGATAATATGTAGGTATATTCTAGGTTGTTAACATGAATCATCTAGGGACTTGTGGCTGCACCATAGACTGAGAAGGAAGAAGTAGAAAAAGGCACTTAAACAAAAACAAAGACCGAAAAAGTACAGCCATTGTGATATGGTTCAATTTATACACTTATGTATGCAAATAATTTTTTAAAAAAAATGAATGGTACGTTTTCACCTTAAAAGGATGCTATCTAATGGTAGAACATCAGTAACTGTAAGCTGAGTGTATATGGGGATTCATTGTTTCTATTCTACTTTCGTATATATTTAAAATTCTTTACAATAAAAACATTTCAAGAGAAGATTTTTAAGAAGGAATTCCATTAATTTTTAGTTGGAAATCAGTTGCTGCTTTATTCACAACCTGCCATCAGGGCTAAGAAATACCTTTTGTAGTTGTGGTTCTATAGATGGGGAATTGTAAAAGTTACACTGGGTGCTAGGTGAGAGAACAGAAAAGGACATTAGAGAGCTGAAAAGGAATTTTAAAAAAAGCACTAAGATTACAAGATTAACATGCTTAAGTGTCAATAATTGAATAGAGTGGACACATTGGTGGCTATTTCATTTTTAAAAATTTGAAAGTAAATTGGAAATTTTCTAGAGAAAATTACAAATCCTCCTTACATTAAATAATGACTTGCTGCCTTGGTGAATCTCCACATCACTTACTTGTGTATGACCTGATTTATGTTTCCACGTAGCTAAAGGAAAAGTCTACAAGAATAGGTTACTGGATGGTTTGAAGTCTCTTAATGGTAAGTGAGAAGCATAATACAAAGCCAGATGATTCTAAGAGACACATTATACTATCTCCTAGATACCCAATTGTGAACTTCACTAACCTCCTTAAATACTGATATCATTCCTAGCTTCTGATATAGACCTGTGAGCAAATTATCTCCATATAGAAATTTAAATAAATTTTACATAAGAGAAAATAAAGTCTGTGTCAGCACAGTAAAATTAAAGGGAAAATATTTGGGGAATTTGGTTAGGCGTTGAGACAATCAATAAAATAAACACAAATGAGCCCACTTATTAGTGAGAAGATAAAATAATGTTTTTCATTACTATGAATTATTAAATAGTAATGCAGGCCCTTTTAAAGCTTATGCTTTGTAAACCTGTCCCCATGATCCCACTAAAGAAAGAGGTTCTTTTTAAAGAGCTATTATCTATTATTATCTATTATTGACCCGCTTTGTACTATAGACACTTGATGTTCCTGCTGAAAATAACATTAGTATATGTCAACAATTTGATGTATTTGCTAAAACAAGTCAACTGTCATGCTATATATGAGCCTATTTAAGTTATTTAAATCCAAAAACTATACAGCATGCTAATTGACTATAATAAAATGCATTCTGGACAATTAGTTCAAGATTTCAGTTTTGTTTTTTTTTTTTTTCTGCAGACGGAAATTTCTAAGAACTAAAATCCCCAAACAAAAATTTTAGAAAAAGATCCCTTGCTTGCAAAAGAAAAATATTTCTGAGAGGGGACACCCTTTATATTTCCACCTACACTACAGCCATGTGGGCCCATAGGTTATTTAAATATATAAATTTTTATATATTTATATATATAAAAAAGAATATATAAAAAAGAAAAATATATAAATTTTTCTTTCCTTTGGCTATTTCTTGACCATTTTGCTTTTCTAAGGAGGGGTTGTTAATGCCAATAAACTTGATTCAGTTTTGAAAACCATGGGATGGAAACTCACAGAAGATGAAATTAAGGATCTCAAATGCAACCTGCCCACTGATGGTGAGCATTGAAAATATTTTTAAGTTCTTTGGGAAAAATCTTACCATGATGATTAGATTCCCAGCTCATTGTTCTTTATGGATCTTGGTTATGGGATTGAAGAAGTTCTACCTTTTTCCATTCTTCTTCTTCTCACATCTGAAGAAGGCATTGAAGAATAACGCCTTCTTGGGGGCTGGGGCAACTTTCTTAGTGTACTTCCTATTTGTAGAGGGCAGGAACCCCACTTTAAGTCATGAACAGAGTACCTTTTAGTTTAAGTTTTATACTAAAATAGGGTTGACTTTTTATCTGATTGATTATGACTTGCTTAATGTGCCAATAGTTACATCTACAATTCTTGTTGAGATGTCCTTCTCATTAGATTTAATTGTAGACCCCTTGAGTTTTATCAGACTACCCTGGGGAGAAGCACAACCTAAGATGTTTGTTCCTGAATTATTTTTTCAAATTTGGAGGATTTACTAGGCACCATCTTAATCAAATCAGAGGTTTCAACAAAAGGAATGATGATCACACTCTTCATATTGTCTTTGCCAGAAGCCTTAGTTTTGAATGCCCTTGGTCACTAAAAGAAATTCCAGGTGTTATCTTGTATTTGTAGAAGATGAGAACTAGTTCATTTTTTGTGCCATGTCGCACCCAGAATCTCTGGATTCTCTCTGTTCTCCTTTATCCTTGCTTGCTAGCCAGCCAGTTGTTTTCTGGGTTCATTTCTTTTTGTAGTAACTTGTCCGTTGCTGCCCATATCAACCAGATACTCTAGTAACACTGTATTTCCTAGCTTCTTCTTCTTTTTTTTTTTTAAGTTTATTTATTTATTTTTGAGAGAAAGAGAGAGAGGGAGTGGAGGAGGGATGCAGAGAGGGGGAGAGAAAGAGAGAATCCCAAGCAGGCTTCAGCATGGAGCCCGATGTGGGGCTCAAACCCACAAACTGTGAGATCATGACCTGAGCCAAAACCAAGAATTGGGGGCTTACATGACTGAGTTACTCAGGCGCCCCACCCAGCTTCTTCTTTTAAAGTACAAGCATAGGGGCGCCTGGGTGGCGCAGTCGGTTAAGCGTCCGACTTCAGCCAGGTCACGATCTCGCGGTCCGTGAGTTCCAGCCCCGCGTCAGGCTCTGGGCTGATGGCTCGGAGCCTGGAGCCTGTTTCCGATTCTGTGTCTCCCTCTCTCTCTGCCCCTCGCCCGTTCATGCTCTGTCTCTCTCTGTCCCAAAAGTAAATAAAAAAAAAAAACGTTGAAAAAAAAATTAAAAAAAAAAAGACAAAAAAATAAAGTACAAGCATATTCAGTACATTATCTGCCTTCTAAGTTGTTGAAATTGATAAACTCACCAACACCATTGCAAGGCATGGGTTCATTCCAGCCTCCAGTAACAATTTCTTCACCAAACACTTCCAGGACCAGAGCCAATGCCACATAGTTTTGGTGTTTTTGCTACTACTTTTGTTGTTGCTAAGACAGCAACACACTTGTGGTTCCAGTTCCTTTTTTTTTTAAGTTTCTTTATTTTGAGAGAGACAGAGATGGCCTAAGCAGGGGAGGGGCAGAGTAAGAGGGAGAGAGAGAGAGAGACAGAGAAACCCAAGGAGGCTCCTCAGTGTCAGTGCAGAGCCCAACACTGTGCTCGAACTCATGAACTGTGAGATCATGACCTGAGCTGAAACTAAGAGTCAGACGCTCAACCGACCGAGCCACCCAGGCGCCCTGTGGTTCCAGTTCCTATTATCAGCTAGCTATGCTGCAGTAGTAACAAACAACCCCCAAATCTCAGTGGCAACAGAGTTGCACTCAATAGTTGCACTCAGAGTGACACTCAATATTAGACACTGCCCATAGGTTGGCTGTCCATCTGTTCTCTACTATAGGACATAGGATGCAAGAACAGTCCCTGTCTGGACAGTGTCACTTTTGTAACAGGAAAAAGAGAGATGATGGAGCCATGTGATAGTTCTTAAAGTTTCTACTCAGAAGAGACTCAAATATTTCATTTGACAAAGCAAATTGCATGATATCATTGGGAACAGAAGTATAATCCTCCCATAATACAGACTTGATACAGAGGGGAAGAGAATATTTGGACAAACAAGATATATTCTCTTAAAACAATGTATCTGAAAATGCAAGGAAAAACAATTTATACCCACTTTGATGCATTTTAAAATTGATTCCATAATTACAGAACATCTAGTCAATTTAATATATGGAGCCATCAAAAGAACCAGTCAGCTCTATTCTTATATACAAATATATGCATAGAATATCTCTAAAAAAGATACACAAAAATGTCAATGTTTGTTCCTTAGAAGGAAGAGAATTCTGACAATGGAGATGTTTATAAAGGAGATATATTTTTCACTGTATTCTTATTGGTAACATCTGAGTTATGTAATTTATGCTTATGCTGCCTAGTAAGAATAAATTGATTTAGAAACATATATGAGAAAAGCATGATTCACAAAAGGAAAAAATTGATAAATTGTACTTCATTAAAATTAAAAGCTTTCACTCTGGAAAGCTGTGTGGAGATGGTGGAAGACAACCTACCGTCTGGGAGAAAATATTTGCAAGTGATACATCTGACAAAGCAGCAGCATCTATGGCATTTAAAGAACACGCAAAACTCAGCAATATAGGGGCATCTGGTGGTTCAGTCAGTTGAACGTCTGACTTTGGCTGAGCCTCGTCTTGGGCTCTATGCTGACCGCTCAGAGCCTGGAGCCTGCTTCAGATTCTGTGTCTTCCTCTATCTCTGCCCCTCCCCCTCTCATGCTCTGTCTTTCTCTCTCTCTCTCAAAAATAAATAAACATTAAAAGGTTTTTTTTTTTTTATTTGAGAAAACCTCAGCAATATAAAATACAAACAAACCAATAAGAAGATGGGGAAAATACATGAAACTATATGAATGAAAATACATTGCACCAAAGAGGATATACAGGTATCAGATAAACACATGAAGAGATGCTTGACGTCATTAGGTATTAAGGAAGTGCCATTTGAAACTGCAGTGAGATATCATTGCATACCTATCAGAATAGCTAAAATAAAAAATAATGACAACACCAAATGTTGATGAGGATGCTTGAGAAACCGGACCACTCATACTTGGTAGTGGGAATGTAGTGATACAATCACTATAGACAAAGTACCAGTTTCTTACAAAACTAAGCATAGAGCTACCGTAGCAATTACACTTTTGAAACTTAGGTTCGCACAAAATCTATACATGAACGTAAGAGCCAAAAACTGGAATCAGCCCAAGTCTCCTTCAACAGGTAAATGGCTAAACAAACTTGTGGTACGTACATATTATGGAATACTATTATTCATCAGCAAAAGTACACTATCTGATTCATGCAACATCTTGGGCAAATTTCCAGATAGTTATCCAGAGCTAAAAAAGCCAACCTCAGAGCTTACATACTGTAAGATCTTTACATATCATTTTTGAAATAACAAAATTTTAGAAATGGAGGACAGATTAGAGCTTGCCTGGATTTAGAGATAGGGGATTGGTGGAGGCAGAAGGAGGTGGATGTGGTTATAATAGGGTCCTTGTGGGACTGGAACTGTTCAGTATCTTGACTGTGGCAGTGCATACGTGAACCTACACAGGTAGTAAAATTGTCTGGAATTTAATAATACAGAGACATACACATGAGTACAAGTAACACTAAGGATATCTAAATAACATCGGTGGATTTTATCAATGCCAGTATTCTGTTTTTGGTATTATTCTATGGCTTTGTAAGTCTTATCATTAAGGGAAGCTGGGCAAAAACGTACAAGGTATCTCTCTCTATTTTTTTCTACTAACTTCATATGCATCTACAATTACCCAAATAAAATTTTCAAAAAAAAAGTTAAATTGGAAATAAAATCTGTTAGTCTATCAGTATGATAACTGCCCCCCCCCAATTGCTAATATAAAGGATTTGTCTTCAAAGTGCTTAATAATTTATCTTGTAATCCAAATGGAGGAAATAAATCTTTCTGGGTCTGTTAAAACACCAGGGAATATTGAATGAGAACACATTACCTGAGAAAATCACTGCTGAAACCCAAGTTTAAACATTTTTGAATAGCATGTACCAAACATAAACCCATTGTCATGGCCTGATAGAAATAAGAAAGTTCTTCAAAGTCTTAGAGCTAAAAAGTAGACCCTGGACAGTAAGTGGCTTTTGACTCTTATCCCTTGACTATTGTAGGTTTGATTTTTTATAGAAGAATTAAGTCATAGTTGTATTGTTGACGTTATATTTTTCATATTTAACCTCTTTACACTCATTCTCAAGAAGTGGGTAAAAGTAGAGAATATTATTAGTACGGAAGTGTTGCTGGAGTATTTTCCTCTCCTATTATTTGTGTGTTTCACTGTCTCTTTTTATTATTTGCATTTCTTCTTACAGTATATGGGAGAACTACAATGAAAAAGTTGTGTAGTGGATTAAAAGCTTTTACAGGTCAGTGGGAAGTTATATAAAACCAAGATCTGCAGACTTTATGTAGTAGTATAGTTTTAAATAATATTTTTTACCATTCTATTGCTGATTTGTAAATTGTAGCTTTCAACCTTTTCTAATGAAACATTTGCTCCTAATGTCCCACGGTTTACCTTTATATATAGTAATTAAAAGCCTATAACTTACTAATAACTTCTGAACTTTCTGGAGTTTTTATACTAATAATACTCACTTCAACATTATTAATAGATTCCCAAATCAGAGTATATCAAGCAACAGCAAAATAAAGCTTTTTTTTTTTTTCCATTCTTAGAACTGGAAAGAATTATGCTGAGTGAAATAAGTCAGAGGAGGACAGGTATCATATGTTTTCACTCATATGTGGATCTTGAGAAACTGAACAGAAGATGATGGGGGGAGGGAAGGGAAGAAAATAGTTACAAACAGAGACAGAGGGAAGCAAACCACAAGAGACTCTTAAATACAGAGAGCAAACTAAGGGTGGATGAAGGGGTGGGGGAGAGGGGAAAGTGGGTGATGGGCATGGAGGAGGGCACTTGTTGGGATGAGCGCTGGGTGTTGTATGTAAGCCAATTTGACAATAGATTATATTCATTAAAAAAACTTATTTATTGTCAGTATCAAGAGCAAATAACGTATTTCAGAAAAAAATTTAAAATATATAGTATTCTCTGATATGATGTATAAATGAATTGATGTTGATATTTCATTAATCAGACAGTTATTTAGGTAAAATCTATTCTCTTCTACTTTGACTTCTTGTCAGATTAAGAAATCATACTTTTCAGTATTTTTAAGCAAATTTGATATATGACCCTTCTCAATTCTGTATGGATGTATATATCTTATTATATCTTTGAACTTGCTCAAGTTAGGAAGAAACATGCTTAACACTATTAAATTATTACTTGAAATAATTATTCTATAAAATTCTTGAATGATCACGTTTCATATTTTCAAAGGAAAAAATATTAATGTGCAACATCTATCAGATTTTGTGAGGAACATGGGTATTGAGCTAACAGATAAAGAACAAAAGAGGCTGCTAAAGAAGCTTCCAGTTGATGGTAAGCCATAAAGATACTTTAGTAGCCTTCTAGAATACTTAGCTTTATGGTACCATGGGAGAAGTTTTAAAAGTTCTCTTTAGGGGCGCCTGGGTGGCTCAGTCGGTTGAACGTCCAACTCTTGATTTTGGCTCAGGTCATGATCTCACAGTTCGTGAGACTGAGCCCTGCGCCAGGCTCTGTGCTGGCAGCATGGAGCCTGCTTGAGATTCTTTCTCTCTTTCTCCCTAGCTCTCTCCGCCCATCTCCCACTCACTCTCTCTCTCTCTCTAAATATATAAACTTAATTTTTTTTTTAATTTCTCTTCTAGCATTTAAAATATATATATATATATATATATATTTAAAGTAATTAGAAAAGGCAGATTTTAAGTTATATCTATCAATCTATATATCTCTCTCTCTATATATAACCCAGGCCACCAGGGGCAAAATAAATGCTGTCATGTCATGCCCTCTAGCCAATGACAAAACTATTAGAAAAAAAAATGAAGGAATGTGATTAGGGGAGAGAATTTTAGAAGAATTGGACAAGAGAAATCAAAGGATAAAGAAACCAGCATAGAGAGACTGTCAACTGTTCTGTCAGGGGTTTAGAATGGCATAATTGTCACTATTGTATCCCATCTCATTTTTTTGTTGTTATTCGAGGATGAGTAAGAACATATTTACTCAGTAAATGAAAACTCTCCCTGAAATTCTGAAGTATATGTATTATGTTTCTGAGCATCTATATAATGCTTTGTCTGACATAGAGTGTGATTTGCATTGTAGCTTCTGGGAAGATCTATCAAAATAGATTGTTGGATGGTCTGAAGTCTTTCAAAGGTGAGTTAATGAGCAGTTTGAGATTTAACATTTTAATTTATATCATTAGAGCTTTACCCAAGCCATCCTTTTATGAACTGATATTTAAATGTAGTTTCTTTATTTTAAAAGAGGTATTTTGTGATTAGTTTTTTTAAATCTTTGTAGGTCCCACATTTTCTTGTATTTTTCATAACTTAATCTTGAAAGTGTAAATTGAATTCTAGGTAGATAAAACAAAACATGAAGAGAATGATAGGTAGTCTGAAAATTAGTTAAGCAAAGAAAATAAAAATAGTTTCTATTGTTAGAAATATTGGACATTGTTTCCTGATAGAATCCAAATCATAAATTAATGTTCATTATAATTCCTCTAAAAAGAATGTGGTTTTAGTGTGAGATTCAGTTAAGACAAAAAAAAAATGTAGGCAAAGGTACCAGCTTGTGCCTAGGATTTGGTTTTGCTTTCCCTCCTAGTGCTTAGTCCAAAAGAAGAGAAGAACATAAAGAGAATGAAGAAATGACTTAAAAGCTCTGCCACTTGGTACCTATTGAGAGGAGTCAGCTGTCAAAAGAAGAGTGCCTCTTCGCATTCCCAGGCCCTCCGGAAGAGTGGGAGCAGGATTATTTTTTAATTTAATGTGGAAGTTGTCCACCATGCTGCCCATTTGATAGCATCTTGCTATGTGTCTTTATCAACTAAATCGTCACCTTAAAAATGAGACAATCATAGCCAGATGCTTGTCGGCCTCCCTGTAGTTCTCTTTCCCTACCTATCTAGTTTTTCTAGTCTCTAGGCCTCCTGTTTTACAATTTTAGTAATAAATTTTCCTTTCCATGCACTCTGAGCCTCAGCTCCTGCTTCAGCTTCAGAACATTTTTAACTAAATTTTTAACATTTTAACTAAAGCCCTCTGTAAACTACCATGCTAGGTAGTTTACAAGATAATTATCTATTCTTTTTAACTAATACAAATAGTTTTCTATCTTAAAATAGTCACCAAAAAATCGGTGTTCATAAACTGTTTTCACAGTATGGATAAACCAGGCGTAAAGTAATTGTCACGTTCCAGTGGAAAGCAGTACAAGTTTTTTGGCAACTGAGAGTTTTTTTTCAAAATCCTCCTCTACTGCAAATTCAATTAGTTGTCTTTAGCTTAAGTTGCAAAATCCCTTCATAAATTATTTCTTGTCCATAGTTTCATCAAGGCAAAGCTTAAGGCTCTTTAACACGATGTTAAAATAGAGTTTGGTACTCATGTTTCAAAGCAATATTAATAGTACTGAAAAGGATTCTATTTTTCCTTATTCCTAGTTTTTTCATATTAATAGTAAAAACATTTTCAATATAATAGTAACAGAGCACTGATAGATTTCTAGTATTTAATGTTCTTTCATATTTTAATATTTTTTGTCATTCTTTATGTCTCTTTCCTAAGGAGGGAAGGTTGAAAGAAGTAAAGTCAATACTGTTCTAGAAAACATGGGAATCGTGCTCACAGGAGAGGAGCTTCAAAGTCTAACAGATAACCTACCAGTTAACGGTAAGCACTGTGGTTATTTCTCTGCGTTTCTGCAGAGCTTTGCCTGTGAATGTGCATATGAGAATTTTTGAAATTATTATTTGATGCTGAAAGGAAATGTATCTTAGAGTAGAACCCATTCTAAAGTAAAAAGAAATCCTGCCTCATTTTTGAAATTTAAAGTTATCAACATGTTTTCATATAGAAACCAGAGAAGCCAGAATGTTTATCTCAGGAATAGTCAGAATGTAGAATAAAACTTCTACGGATTAAATTTAAAAGTGATCATACGCTGGCTAACGCTTCATTTCTTGGTTCTTCCAATCTGAACCATTTGCTTTTTTGTCTTATGTGTTCTCCCTGAGTGATTTTATGAACCCCTACTTTTAACCATCTGTTTGAACCATCAGTTATGTTCTTTCCAGTCTTCTCCCCAGTCTTCAAACTATTTTATTCTAAATCTTCTGAGACATTTCTATTTAGTCCATCCCAAATAGCTGTTCAAGGATAAAATTTGTAATCTAATATATTCCATATCTTTTTAAACTGATCATCCTTTTTTCTGCTTCACTGACCCTGCCAGAAATCTCTATCCACTTAATTACTTGCTGCTGCCTATTTAAACTCCTAAATATTTTAAAAATCCATTCCTACTCTTTAGCCCTGTATCACTACCCTTCTTTCTATTTCTTTTTATCTCTTCTTAGACTGCTAGATAACTCTCTCTCTGCCTATAATTTTGTTACTTTTAAATCCACTCTACACACAGTGGGCAGAATGATCCATTTCTATGTAAACCTGATCATAAAACTAGTTGGGGTTTTTTTTTCTCCCCATCTTATCTTCCCCTCTTCTACTTTTCTGTACCTTCTTTCAAAACGTTGAAATAACTCAAGGCTCTGATGGGTTCTCTAAGTGACCTTACCTACTTTTTGAGCTCTGAATTCTATCTGTATGGTAATGAATCACTGATAGATATTCCTAACCTAAAACACTCCTTGGATCTCTATTTGGTTTATTTACTACCTATTTGCAATCTCCACTTGGATAGCTCAAATAACTTGTAACTTAACTTGTCTTAGTCTGAGCTCTTGATTTTTCTACTAAAACTCATCCCTTCCCAGTATCATTACAAGGCATCACCACTGGAGTTTGTCTTGTGATGTCTTTGTCTAGCTTTCGTATTAAGGTAGCACTAGCCTCATAGAATGAATTGGTGTTTTTTCCCACTTCTGTTTTCTGAAATAATTTATGTAGGACTGATATTATTTCTTTAATTATTTGTAATAATTTACCAAAGAAGCCATCTGGACATAGTCCCTTCTCTCTGAGAAAATTTCCAATGCTTAATTTTCTTGTGTGTTACAACACTATTCAGATTTTCTGTTTCTTTTTATTCCATTTTGGCAGCTTGTGTCCATTTTGGAATCTATTTCATGTAAGTTGTTTAATTTCTGGCATAAAGTTGTTCACAGTATTCCCTCTTTAGCCTTTAAATTACTGTTAAGTTCAATGGGTTAATCCTTTCTTTCATTACTAATTTTAGTCATCTGTGTCCTCTCTCTTTTTTTCTTGGCTAGTCAATTTTGATGATGTTTTCGAAGACTAAATGTTTGGTTGCATTGAGTTTCTCTGTCATTGTTCTCATATCCACTCTAATCTTCATTATTTTCTTCCTTCTGCTTGTCTTTGGTTTGGCTTGCTCTTACTTTCCTAGATGAAGATAAAGACTTAATTATGGATTTGAGATCTCTCTTCTTCTCTAACATAGTTATTTAAGGCTATAAATTTTACTTTAAGCACCACCTTTACTGTGTCTCATGTATTTAATTTTTATTCAGATAAAAATACATTCTAATTTCTCTTGTAATTTCTTCTTTGACTCATGGATTACTTTGAAATGTGTTGTTTGATTTCAAAATATTTGAATTTCTCTGATTTCCTTTGGTTGTTCATTTCTAATTTAACTCTGTTGTGGTCAGCGAGCATACTTTGCATGATTTCAGTCCTTTGAATTTTATTAACACTTGTTTTACGATTTAGCATACAAGAGAATCAGATGCTCTTTGGAGTCTCCAAAAACTTCTAACAGTGTAAAGGGATTCTGTGACCAAAATATTTGTTTTAGAGCCTTTTTTTTTTTTTTGATAATTCTAACACTTGAGTCATCCAAGGATTGGCATGTGTTGATTGCCTTTTCACTTGATAATTGATCTCATTTTCCTAACTTTTTGTATGTTAAATAATTCTGAATTGTATCCTCAACTTTGTCAACTATTTTGTTTTGTAGACTCTGGGTCCTTTTAAAATTCATTGAACAATGCTGGTGCGTTTTGTTTTAGCAGGTAATCAACTCTGAGATTCAGAACACAAATTCCGTCTCCCATTTCTCTGGATGGTTCCAGTCTCAGTTCATTCTACAAAGCTCTGTTTTACTGCTATGGGTCTGTCTGCATGTGCCTCTTGGGTTAGTCTGAGACTTGGGCCCTGGTTTAAATCTTAATTCAGTTCTCAAAGCTGTTGCAAGAATGCTTTCTTTGTATCTGTCTCATGCATGCACAACTCAAAAGTGAGCCCAAGACTTTTACAGATTCATACACAGAATTAGGGGATCCCTTTCTCCATTGTTCTCTCCTCTCTGGAATTACCCCATATTTTCCAACCTGAAGGGGCTTCTTTTCCAGGTTTCCCTGGTCAAAGAGATGGAGTTTTTATCAGTCTTAGCTTCCTGTTCCTGCTCTGCCTTGCAGTTCTGTGATTGGGGCCCCACCCTCAGGACAAAGCCATTAGGGAAAAGAGAAAACCAAAACAGAAGGCTCACTCCCGTTGCCAGTCACTTCTGCAAGTTTTGGTTCTCTTCTACAGTCTAGTGTTGTTGCTTTTTGTGTTTTCTTTAGACTTTTAGTCTAATCATCAGGAAAAATAGATTGTAGAGAGCTGATACGGCCGTGGCAGAATCAGAATCAGCCTCATATTTCATTATTTAAAAAATTTAAATATATATATATATATATGTAAATAATACTTTCACATTTTAGCATGTGAATCAGGATGTATCTTATAATTGTTACCAATCACATAGTAGAATTATTACATTCTTGTCATTGAGTCTGCATTTGTGAATTTGGTTTTAGCCTGTCACTGTGGCACATTACCACTTTAAGTTGTGTATTGTTGGTACCCCATGTGTTGAGTTTAATTGCTGTTTAAAAACTTCTCCAAGAAAATTGCGCTGTCATTAAGAATTGAAGGGAAAGTTGTGTATACAGGAAAAGCATGGGAACAGTGGCAAAGTATAAATTTATGATTAGTGAAGAAAACATCTCACCATTGGAGGAAAGACCACAATTCTGTTTTTCAAAATTTTATTGCAAAGCTACAACAAAATGCTTTTTGGACCTAAGAAAGAAAGAAACCCACAAGTAGAAAATCTATACTACCTGTTGTTAATGATGCATACACAAAAGAATTGCCTATGATACACCATACAGTGTAAGTGAAGGCAAAAGAAACTGCCAAATCCCTCACAAAGGTAAAATAAAGTTCCAAGCAATGGGGATGGACATCAGACATCAACTTGTCAAAATTTCTTGTTAAGTTTAATTGCACCAAAAAGAATGAAATAGGAATAAATTTAACCAAAGAGGGAAAAAAATCTGTGCTCTGAAAACTATAACACATTGGTGAAAGAATTTGAAGATGACACAACAAACAAATAGAAAGATATTCCATGCTTAGGGATTGGAAGAACAAATATTGTTAAAATGTCCATACTATCCAAAGCAACCTACAATTCAGTGCAATTTACCAAAAGCGCATTCTACAAAACTAGAAAAAATAATCCTAAAATTTGTTTGGAACTGCAAAAGACCCCAAATAGCCAAAGTAATCTTGAGAAAGAAAAACAAAGTTGGAGATGTCACAATTCCATATTTCAAGATCTACTTCAAAGCCATACTAATCAAAACAGTATGGTGCTGGCATAAAAACAGACACAGGGATCAAAGGAACAGAATAGAGAGCCCAGTAATAACCCCGTGATGATATGGTCAATTAATCTATGACAAAAGAGGCAAGAATATACAATAGAGAATAGACAGTTTCTTCAACAAATGGTATTGTTGGACCATTTGTCCGGAAAACTAGACAGCTACATATAAAATAATGAAACTGGACCACTCTTTAATACCATACACAAAAATAAATTCAAAATGTATTAAAAACCTAACTGTGAGACCTGAAACCTAGAAGAGAACACAAGCAGTAATCTCTTTGATATCAGCTGTAGCAACATTTTTCTAGATATGTCTTCTAACACAAGGGAAACAAAAGCAAAAGTAAACTATTGGGACTACCTCAAAATAAAAGCCTTTTTGCACAGTGGTGGAAACTATCAACAAAACAAAAAGGCAACCTACTGAATGGGAGAAGATATTTGAAAATGATATATCCAATAAGGGGTTAATATCCAAAAAATATAAAGAACTTATACAACTCAACACCAAAAAAAAAATCTGATTTTTAAAATGAGCATAGGATCTGAATAGATACTTTTCCAAAGAAGTCATACAGATGGCCAAAAGACACATGAAAAGATGCTCAGTATCACTCATTATCAGAGAAGTGCAAATAAAAACCACAATGAGATATCAACTCAGACCTGTCAGACTGGCTAAAATCAAAACAATGAGAATAATAAGTGTTGGTGAGGATAACAATTGTTGGTGAGGATGTAGAGGAAAAGAACTCTTGTGCACTACTGATGGGAATGTAAATTGGTACAGCCACTATGGAAAACAGTATGGAGGTTCCTCAAGAAATTAAAACTAGAAATACCATATAATCCAATAATTCCACTACTGAGTATTTACCCAAAGAAAACAAAAATACTAATTCAAAAAGATAGATGCACTCTGTTTATTGCAGCATTATTTATAATAGCCACAATATGGAAGAATCCTAAGTGCCTATCAATAGATGAATGGACAAAGAAGACACACACACTGGAATATTACTCAGCCATATTCATCAAGAAAGATGAAATTTTGCCATTTGGGACAGCACAGATGGACCTAGAGGGTATTATCCTAAGTGAAGTAAGAGAAAGACAAATATGTCAGTTCACTCACACATAGAATCTAAAAAAAAGTCAATAAATGAACAAAAAAACAATCAGACCTGTAAATACAGAGAACAAACTGATTGCCGGAGGGGTGGGGATGTGAGTATTAGCAAAATGGATGCAGAGGAGTAGGAGATACAGGCTTCCAGTAATGGAATGAATAAGTCATGGGAATAAAAGACACTGTATAAGGAATATAATCAATGATATTGTAATAGCGTTGTATGGTGACAGATGGTAGCTAGACCTGTGGTGCTGTGGCATCACGTATAAAAACCTATCAGATGACTGCGTTGTACGCCTAAAACTAATGTAGCCTTATGTGTCAAGTACTCTCAAGAAACATTTTTAATTTCTTGTTAGCTTTAAATAAAAAACTCTAGTGGAGCCCTCATCTAAGAAATGCTGTGTCACCAGTGCTGTTGATAGCACACTGGACAATATTTTGGAGACAAAATATTTTGGAGACAGTGATTCTGAGTTGAAGAGCTGAACAGCAATTTAAAAGAATTAGATTCTAAATATGAAATTATAGTAATTGCAAGTTTATCTCACATATTTTTATGTTTGCATAAGCATGACATTTTAATTTTTTTTAATTTTTAAATTTTTTTTAATGTTTCTTATTTATTTTTGAGAGAGAGAGAGAGACTACAAGCAGGGAAGGGGCAGAGAGAGAGGGAGACACAGAATCTGAAGCAGGCTCCAGGCTCTGAGCTGTCAGCATAGAGCCCGAGGTGGGGGGCTTGACCTCACAGACTGCGAGATCATGACCTGAGCCGAAGTCGGACGCTCAACCCACTGAGCCACCCAGGCGCCCCTGCATAAGAGTGATATTTTAAAAATCGGTTTAACTCTAAACATCATTCAATGATATAAAATAAATATTCTAAATTATAAGGAAAAAAAAGGAAGTTAGCCGATTTCCAGGCCTAGATGATTTTCATATTCTTCTTACAGTTTGTAATCTATCTTTTACAATAGGACATATGTATATTTAAAATACTTTGCTTAGGGGCGCCTGGGTGGCGCAGTCGGTTAAGCGTCTGACTTCAGCCGGGTCACGATCTCGCGGTCCGTGAGTTCGAGCCCCGCGTCAGGCTTTGGGCTGATGGCTCAGAGCCTGGAGCCTGTTTCCGATTCTGTGTCTCCCTCTCTCTCTGCCCCTCCCCCGTTCATGCTCTGTCTCTCTCTGTCCCAAAAATAAATAAATGTTGAAAAAAAAATTTTAAAAAAATAAAATACTTTGCTTAAAGGCAACAACCTCTTTGACCTCAGCCACAGCAATTTCTTGCTCGACACTTCTCCAAAGGCAAGGAAATTAAAAGCAAAAATGAACTATTGGGACCTCATCAAGATAAAAAGCTTCTGCACTACAAAGGAAACAATCAACAAAACTAAAAGGCAACCGATGGAACGGAACGGGAGAAGATATTTGCAAATGACATATCGGATAAAGGGCTAGTATCCAAAATCTATAAAGAACTCGCAAACTCCACACCTGAAAAACAAATAATCCAGTGAAGAAATGGGCAGAAGACATGAATAGACACTTTTCCAAAGAAGACATCCAGATGGCCAACGGACACATGAAACGATGCTCAATATCACTCATCATCAGGGAAATACAAATCAAAGCCACACTCACGCTGAGATACCACGTCACACCAAGTGATCAGAGTGGTCAGAGTGGCTAAAATGAACAAATCAGGTGATTATAGATGCTGGCCAGGATGTGAAGAAATGGGAACCCTCTTGCACTGTTGGTGGGAATGCAAACTGGTAGAGCCGCTCTGGAAAACAGTGTGGAGGTTCCTTAGAAAACTAAAAATAGAACTATCCTATGACCCACTGCTAGGAATTTACCCAAGGGATACAGGAGTGCTGATGCATAGGGGCTCATGTACCCCAATATTTATAGCAGCACTTTCAACAATAGCCAAATTATGGAAAGAGCCAAAATGTCCATCAACTGATGAATGGATAGAGCAAATATGGTTTATATATACAATGGAATACTACTTGCCAATGAGAAAGAATAAAATCATGCCATTTGCAGCAACGTGGATGGAACCGGAAGGTATTATGCTAAGTGAAATAACTAAGTCAGAGAAAGACAGATATCATATGTTTTCACTCATGTGGATCTTGAGAAACTTCACAGAAGACCATGGGAGATGAGAAGGGGAAAAAAAAGAAATAGTTACAGAGAGGGAGGGAGGCAAACCACAAGAGATACTTAAATACAGAGAACAAACTGAGGGTTGATGGAGGGTGGGGGAGAGGGGAAAGAGGGTGATGGGCATTGAGGAGGGCACTTGTTGGGATGAGTATTGAGTGTTGTATGTAAGCCAATTTGACAGTAAATTATATTAAAAAATATATATCAATAAATAAAATACTTGGCTCGACAATAATAGATACTAATCTCCTAATTTAACTTGTTATTTATGGAAAAGGAAAATTCCTCTGTGGTGTATATGGGAAAGTTTCAGGCAATTTGATCAGAGTCTTCCATAAAAGTACACTATCTCTGAATTTTGTTTACTCAGCATAACCAGTTTTTCCAAACTCTGAAGTCCTTGAAAGTAGAAAGTGTACTTTAATTATCTTTGTGCCCTTAAGACCTAGCATATTTCAAATATTAGATATGTAATTTGAGGGAAATGGTTCTTCTCTAACAACTTTGCACATCTCCACCTAGGCCACATAAATATATCTTGACCACAATCTTACCATAGTCTTTCTTGAAAGCGTCACAATTCCTCCTGGAACAAGGGGAAGTAGACAGCCTTGTGAAGAGCTGCCACCAAGCAGTGTCTCCATCTGTTTCCCTATCTACAGGAGACGGTCACAAGGTCATTTCTCATTCATCTCCTTAGTTTCAGTTGAACACAACTTTCCGCCTCTCTCCCTTAGGATACAGCTGCAGATTTCTGTATAAGTCTATAAAACTTGTTGGGTACCATTTGAGTGAGCTTCCCAGCAGCAGAACAACTCATCGCATGTCCCACCAGTCCACTGTCCAGCTGGTTCCGTGTTGTATTCTGGGACTAAAGTGGCAGAGATCCAACACCATGCTGATCTTGCTTCTTGGGTATAAGTAATAAACTATCTTAATCCATTTGGGCTCATTGTCTCATTACCATCAAAATCTGTGGAAATGTGACGAGCCAACCTAGCAGTTTCAGTGGCAATCTTTTGTGATCCTGTTAAATACCATACCTCTTCTTAGGAACTCTTCTTAGGAACTTCTTGACCACTTGTCAGTAACTAATGTATGATGACTAAGTAAATAGTGGAAAATAAGAAAAAAAAGGGAAATTTGCCTATGATGAGATGAATGAAGTTTTTTTAACAATTGCTTCAAAAATACACCAGTCATATGTCACTAGCCATTCCATGATTATCATAGTAATTGAAAAGACTTTAAAAAAATATATTGGGAATATATGAAAGATTACTTCATTTTTCCTTTTATTATACAATGATAGGTAGGCTTTATGGATATACCATAATTGAGCAGGGTCATAGAACATGGCCAACATCAAGGGGCGCCTGGGTGACGCAGTCGGTTAAGCGTCCAACTTCAGCCAGGTCACGATCTCGCGGTCCTTGAGTTTGAGCCCCGCGTCAGGCTCTGGGCTGATGGCTCAGAACCTGGAGCCTGTTTCCGATTCTGTGTCTCCCTCTCTCTCTGCCCCTCCCCGTTCATGCTCTGTCTCTCTCTGTCCCAAAAATAAATAAACGTTGAACATGGCCAACATCAATAATAGTTTCTTCCTGGTTTATAAAGTAGGATCTAAATAATTCAGGAGTATAAATTGCCTCTGAGTGGACTCTATCTTCTAGGGCAGGGTCAGCAATGTTTCTATAAAGGGCAAATAATAAATACTTCAGGCTTTGTGGATGATGTGATCTCTGTCCTACTTCTCAATAATGTTGTTGTAGTACAAAAGCAGCTGTAAACAATGTGTAAACAAATTAGTGTGGCTGTGTTCCGATAAAATTTTATTTATGGACACTAAAAATTTAAATTTGTGTGAGTTTTATGTGTCACAAATAATATCCTTTTGGGTTTTACAATCATTTGAAAATGTAAAAATGATTCTTAGCTCATGGGCCATATAAAAATAGGCGGTGAAAAAATAAAAAGATACGTGGCAGTGGGCTGGATTTGGCCAATGGACGATAGTTGGCTCACCTCTGATAGGGAATAGGGCACGTCTTCTATCATAGAATTTCTGAAGAACTGGATTTATAAGTTGAGGATTGACATAGAGCACAAGGAAAAGAAGTGGACTTTCACAATATAAGGTTTTCATACTCTGTTTTTCTGAGTCTGCATCATTTTATTATTTTTATCTTTACCTTTTTTTATAGATAATGGGAAGGTTGATCTTGATAAATTGATGGATGGAGTGAAAACTCTTACAGGTGAGAAGTTAATATAAATCTAAGAATGTAAGTTTTACTCAAAATTATATTTCAAAGACTTTTATTTCTTTGCTTATTCTACCATTTTATCCTTCATTTGATAGATCGTTTTTTATCTAATTTCTTAGAGTTAGACTTTTAAATCTCTGCATGTTAGTAATAAAATTTAAATTCTGGGGGGCCTGGGTGGCTCAGTTCATTAAGCAGCTGACTTTTGATTTTGCCTCGGGTCATGGTCTGAGGTTCATGATATCAAGTGCCACATGGGGCTCTGCCCTGAAAACATGGAGCCTGCTTGGGATTTCTGTCCCTCTCTTTATCTCTGCCCCTCCCTCACTCATTCTCTCTCTCTCTGTCTCTCTTTCTCTTTCAAAATAATAAATAAAAATAAATAATTTCAATTCTGTGTCTTGGTAGCAAATTCTTTTTTTTTTTTTAATTTGACATTAATATATGACACCTCTTCTATGTTGGGGGAAAATATTCTGTATTAAATCAGTGAATAGTAGAGTTAGGACGGAGAGGAAGATGGCGGCGTAGGAGGACGCTGGGCTCACCGCGTCCTGCTGATCACTTAGATTCCACCCACACCTGCCTAAATAACCCAGAAAACCGCCAGAAGACCAGCAGAATGGAGTCTCTGGAGCCAAGCGCAGACGAGAGGCCCACGGAAGAGGGAAGGAAGGGCGGAGAGGCCATGCGTGCTACAGACTGGCGGGAGGGAGTCGGGGCGGAGGGGCAGCCCGCCAGCCAAGCAGAGCCCCTGAGTCTGGCTTGCAGAAGCGGAGGGGCCGGACGGAGTGTGTTCCGACAGCAAGCGGGACTTGACATCTGGAAGGTTATAAGCTAACAGCTCTGCTCCGAGAACAGGAGGGCTGGAGGACAATGGGAGGGAGAGTTGCTGAGCCCCGGGAAACAGAGCTCAGTTTGGCGGGGAAGAAAGGCGCTCGCCAGCGCCATCTCCCTCGCCCACCCCCCAGCCAAAATCCCAAAGGGAACCAGTTCCTGCCAGGGAACTTGCTTGCACCACGCAAACACCCAAGGCTGTGCTTCTGCGGACCCACACCTCCGGCAGCGCCCCTGACTCCCTCCAGCTGCCGCAAGGCCCCTCCCAAAGCGGATCACAGAAGGAGAAGTGAGCTGAAGCTGCCCCTCCCGCCCCCCATGCACCTTGCCTATCTACCCCAGCTAATACGCCAGATCCCCAGCACCACAAGCCAGGCAGTGTGCAAGTAGCCCAGAGAGGCCACGCCACCCCACAGTGAATCCCGCCCCTAGGAGAGGGGAAGAGAAGACACACACCAGTCTGACTGTGGCCCCAGCGGTGGGCTGAGGGCAGACATCAGGTCTGACTGCGCCCCGCCCACCAATGCGAGTTATTCAAGATAGCACAGGGGAAGTGCCCTGCAGTTAGGCACCACTCCAGAAACTACCCAAAATGACCAAACGGAAGAATTCCCCTCAAAAGAATCTCCAGGAAATAACGACAGCTAACGAACTGATCAAAAAGGATTTAAACAATGTAACAGAAAGTGAATTTACAGTAATAGTCATAAAATTAATCACTGGACTTGAAAACAGTATAGAGGACAGCAGAGAATCTATTGCTACAGAGATCAAGGGACTAAGGAATAGTCAGGAGGAGCTAAAAAATGCAACAAACGAGCTGCAAAATAAAATGGAAATGACCACACTTCAGATTGAAGAGGCAGAGAGGAGAATAGGTGAACTAGAAGATAAAATTATGGAAAAAGAAGAAGCTGAGAAAAAGATAAAAAAATCCAGGAGTATGAGGGGAAAATTAGAGAACTAAGTGATGCACTAAAAAGAAATAATCTACGCATAATTGGTATTCCAGAGGAGGAAGAGAGAGGGAAAGGTGCTGAAGGGGTACTTGAAGAAATCATAGCTGAGAACTTCCCTGATCTGGGGAAGGAAAAAGGCATAGAAATCCAAGAGGCACAGAGAACTCCTTTCAGACATAACTTGAATCGCTCTTCTGCATGACATATCATAGTGAAACTGGCAAAGTACAAGGATAAAGAGAAAATTCTGAAAGCAGCGAGGGATAAACGTGCTCTAACATATAGAGGGAGACCTATAAGACTCATGACCGATCTCTCTTCTGAAACTTGGCAGGCCAGAAAGGAATGGCAGGAGATCTTCAATGTGATGAACAGGAAAAATATGCAGCTGAGAATCCTTTATCCAGCAAGTCTGTCATTTAGAATAGAAGGAGAGATAAAGGTTTTCCCAAACAAACAAAACCTGAAGGAATTCGTCACCACTAAACCAGCCCTACAAGAGATCCTAAGGGGGACCCTGTGAGACAAAATACCAGAGACATCACTACAAGCATAAAACATACAGACATCACAATGACTCTAAACCCATATCTTTCTATAATAACACTGAATGTAAATGGACTAAATGCGCCAACCAAAAGACATAGGGTATCAGAATGGATAAAAAGACCCATCTATTTGCTGTCTACAAGAGACTCATTTTAGACCTGAGGACACCTTTAGATTGAGAGTGAGGGGATGGAGAACTATTTATCATGCTACTGGAAGTCAAAAGAAAGCTGGAGTAGCCATACTTATATCAGACAAAATAGACTTTAAATTAAAGGCTGTAACAAGAGATGAAGAAGGGCATGATATAATAATTACAGGGTCTATCCATCAGGAAGAGCTAACAATTATAAATGTCTATGCACCGAATACAGGAGCCCCCAAATATATAAAACAATTACTCACAAACATAAGCAACCTTATTGATAAGAATGTGGTAATTGCAGGGGACTTTAACACTCCACTTACAGAAATGGATAGATCATCTAGACACACGGTCAATAAAGAAACAAGGGTCCTGAATGATACATTGGATCAGATGGACTTGACAGATGTGTTTAGAACTCTGCATCCCAAAGCAACAGAATATACTTTCTTCTCGAGTGCACATGGAACATTCTCCAAGATAGATCACATACTGGGTCACAAAACAGCCCTTCATAAGTATACAAGAATTGAGATCATACCATGCATACTTTCAGACCACAATGCTATGAAGCTTGAAATCAACCACAGGAAAAAGTCTGGAAAACCTCCAAAAGTATGGAGGTTAAAGAACACCCTACTAAAGAATGCATGGGTCAACCAGGCAATTAGAGAAGAAATTAAAAAATATATGGAAACAAATGAAAATGAAAATACAACAATCCAAACGCTTTGGGATGTAGCGAAGGCAGTCCTGAGAGGAAAATACATTGCAATCCAGGCCTATCTCAAGAAACAAGAAAAATCCTAAATACAAAATCTAACAGCACACCTAAAGGAAATAGAAGCAGAACAGCAAAGACAGCCTAAACCCAGCAGAAGAAGAGAAATAATAAAGATCAGAGCAGAAATAAACAGTATAGAATCTAAAAAAACTGTAGAGCAGATCAACGAAACCAAGAGTTGGTTTTTTGAAAAAATAAAGTCGATAAACCTCTAGCCAGGCTTCTCAAAAAGAAAAGGGAGATGACCCAAATAAGATAAAATCATGAATGAAAATGGAATTATTACAACCAATCGCTCAGAGATACAAGCAATTATCAGGGAATACTATGAAAAATTATATGCCAACAAACTGGACAACCTGGAAGAAATGGACAAATTCCTAAACACCCACATGCTTCCAAAACTCATTCCCATTGTATATATACCCCATATATACCCTCATATCCCATTGTATATATACCCCACATTTTCTTTATGTATCCCTCCATCAATGGATGCTTAGGTTTTTTCCATGTCTTTGCTATTATAAATTATGCTATAATGGATGTGAAGATTCAGTTATCTCTTCAAGACAGTGATTTTGTTTACTTTGGATATATACCCAAGTCATAATTTCTGGATCATATGTAGTTCCATTTTTAATTTTTTGAGGAACCTTCATACTCTTCACGTTGGCTGCACCAATTTACACTTTCACCAGCAGTGCACGAGGCTTCCCTTTCCCCCACATCCTTACCAGTACTTTCTATCTCTTGTCTTTTAATGATAGCCATTCTAACAGGTGTGAGGTGATACCTCATTGTGGTTTTGATTTACATTTCCCTGATGATCAGTGAGGATGAGCCTCCTTTTAATGGACCTGTTGGCCCTTTGAATATCTTCTTTGGAAAAATGTCTTTTCAGATATTTCACCCATTTTTAAATTGTGTTATTTGGTTTCTTTGTTATTGAGGTGTATGAGTTCCTTATATAGTTTGGATATTAACCTCTTATAAGATATATGGTTTGTAAATATTTTCTTCTATTACATAGGCTGTCTTTTCATTTTGTTGATTCTTTTTTTATTATTATTATTCTCAAGTTAGTTAACCTACAGTGTAGTCTTAGCTTCAAGAGTAGAACCCAGAGATTCCTCTCTTACATATGACACCCAGTGCTCATCCTGAAAAGTGCCCTCCTTAGTGCCTGTCACCCATTTACCTCCCCTCCAAACCTCATCAACCTCAGTTTGTTCTCTGTATTTAAGGGTCTCTTATGGTTATTTTGCCATGCAGAGAAGCTCTTCAGTTTGATGTAGCCCTACTTATTTGTTTATTTTTTATGTTGTTGCTTGTGCTTTATAGGAGTCACATCCAAACAATCATTGCCAAGAGCAACATCAAAGAGCTTTTTTCTCCGTTTCCCGTGGGAGTTTTATGTATGATTTCAGGCCTTACATTTAATTCTTTAATTCATTTTGAGTTGATTTTTGTGAACAGTATAAGACAGGGGTCTAATCTCACTCTTTGTCATGTAAATATCCAATTTTCCTAACACCATTTAATGAAGACACTCTTTTCTCCATTGAGTATTCTAGGCTTGCTTGAATATTGTTGGCTTCTGTGTCAAATAGAAGTTGGCCATATATGTATGAGTTTGTATCTAAGCCCTTGATTCTCTTTCATTGGTCCAAGTGTGTGTTTTTATGCCAGTGCCATACTGTTTTGATTACTATAGCTTTATAATACAGTTTGAAGTAAAAAATTGTGATCCTCCAGCTTTACCCTTCTTTTGAGGATTGGTTTAGCTTTTGTGGTTCCAAATGAATTTTAGGATTATGTTTTATGTATGTGTAAAAAATGCCATTGGAATCTTAAGAATTACATTGAATCTATAGATGGCATTGCCTTAGTGTGGACATTTTAAGGTTAATAATTCTTCTAATCTATGAACACAGGATATCTTTCTATTTGTGTCTCTTCCAAATTTACTCCTAAGTACTTTATAGTTTGTGATGCTGTTGTAAGTGAGATTATTTTCTTCATTTCTTTTTCTGATAATTCATCGTTAGTATATAGAAACACCATTGATTTTTGTATGTTGATTTTGTATCCTGCATCTTTACTGAATTCATTCATTAAATTTAACAAGTTATTATTTTTTTTGGTTGAGTCTTTAGGATTTTCTATACTTAAAATAATGTCATCTGCAAATAGACTCACTTTTACTTCTTTCTTTCTTTCTTTCTTTCTTTCTTTCTTTCTCTCTTTCTTTCTTTCTTTCTTTCTGATTCTGGTGACTTTTATTTCTTTTCTTGCCTAATTGTTCTAGCTAACACTTCTAGTACTATACTGAATAGGAGTGGTAAGAGTGAACACTTGTCTTATTTCTGATTATAGAGGAAAAGCTTTCAACCTTTCACTGTTAGAGTATGATGTTAAGTATTGAGTATTGTCATACATGGCCTTTATTATGTTGAGATTCTTTCCTAATTTAGTGACAGCTTTTATCATGAATGGATATTGAATTTTGTCATATGCTTTTTCTGCATCAATTGAGATGATCATGATTTTTATCATGATTTTTATCTTTCATTCTATTAATGCAGTATGTCACATTTATTGATTCGCGCATATTGAAATATCTTTGCATCCTAGGGATGAATCCCACTTAATCATGCTATATGATCCTTTTAATGTGCTATTGAATTGGTTTGCTAGAATTTTGTTGAGAATTTTTGCATTTATATTCGTCAGGGACATTGGCCTATAGTTTTAATTTTTTTTGTAGTATCTTTGTCTGGCTTTGGTATCAGGGTAAATGCTACCTTGTAAATGAGTTTGGCAGTGTTCCCTCCTCTTAAATTTTTTGGGAAGAATTTGAGAAGGATTGGTGTTAACTCTTCATTAAATGGTAAAAATTCAGCAATAAAACCATTTGTCCTGGACTTTTGGGGAAGAAGATTTTGATTATTGACTCAATATCCTTACTTGTTTTTGGTCTCTTCAGATTTTCTGTTTCTTTATGATTCAATCTCAGTAGGTTGTATGTTTCTAGGAATAATTTATCCGTTTCTTCTAGTCTGTCAATTTTGGGGTCTCTGCTCAGGCACCATTATAACCAGATCTGTAGTATGGACTATGCAACTTCCCAGGTGTTCTGGTTAGGCTTCTTGGTCAGATAAGGCTGGAAGCTATATTCATCCCTGGTCAGGGCTTTGAATTTCCTTCCCAGCCCAGTCTCTGTATCATAGGCTCCTTTGCTGATAAGGCTTATTGGCTGGGTACCTGAGTCAGGCAGGAGTATCCATCAATATCCCTGGCCAGATAGTGCCACTAGCTCAGTTCTGCAGAGAGGCAGAGCCAATGAGTGGGCTCTTCACTCAGGCACTGCTGTAAGAGGGGCTGTAGGGTAATCTACACAGTCTCTGGGATGGTCTCAATAGGTTTTCTGGTCAGGCAGGACAGAGGACTATCTATACTCAGCAATAAGCAGGAGCCATGAATTTGCTTCCTCATCTGGATGGGGTGATAGAAGAGGCTCCAAGGCCAGAAAGGCTTATTGTCTGGGGACCCAACTCAAGCAGAATGGTTCCCTGGCCAGAGGGACCACCATCTTGGCTCTGCAGATGGGCAAAACTACTGTGTCAGATATCTACTCAGGCACTGCTGCTAGGAGAAACAATCTGCCAAGATCCAAGTGCTGGTTAATGTAAGCCATGTTTCCCTTCTCCATCTCATTCTGATCTCAAATGGTTAAGACCCACGGATACCTCCCCCCCCAATACCTATGGGACAGGACCCAGGTGGGCCTTCCAGGAAGCAACCCACAACTCTGGAGGAGCTGGATGTCTACCTTGGGCTCTCTTTTTCCCACCAGAGAAACCATAGCTCTGGGAAGCCCTCTCAGTGCAGCACTATAATAGCCTGGGAGAGGGGCAGTGCAGTCAGAGCATAGCTGATTGTCTTACCCTTCTAATGTGGTCCTTCTCAGTCTTTGTGGTTCAGGGAGATTCATCAGCCTCACAACCATATCCTGGGATTTTCACAATGGTGTCTTGTCTGTGGATACTTGCAAGATGGTCTTTTTGTGAGGGGGACTGAAGTCAGGAAAAACTTATGTCACCATCTTGATGACATCACTCTATATATATTTCAATATAAATGTAAATTTGTAATAATAAAATTAATTATAATTTAAAGTTAAAGAAAATTAAAATAAAATGCAAATTGGTCCATATCATTCTTGAACTTATAACCAACCACTCAATGATTCTATATAACCTAGTAGATAAAGGCTAAGCTTCTTAAAATTACTTACAAATCCCTTAATAATCTGAGTCCAACCTTCCTCTCTTGTATGAACTTTCCTTTCCCAAATCCATACTTTATTCTTCTGCAGTGCTGAACTGACTATAGTTCTTCATGCACTGCATATGTATATGTTGTATATGTTGTACCCAGGTGTGGTTTTACTTTATATTTCTCAGCCTCTCTTCCATGTAGAAGACTCTTTCTATGCATTCCCCTTTCCTATAGTTAAAATCTGATATTTTAACTTGCCAGGCACTACATACTCTATGATGTATTCATTTAACACTCTAGTTTGAATTAGTGGTTCCTATATGAGCTATGGCACTCATGGCTCACAGCAGTACCTGAAGTGCTACCAGAGAGCTGATAAATACCAATGATCCAGAAACACTGGAAAAATAGATCAGCTTAAATCCTTGAAATTCAGAGATTTAATATAAGTGTGTATAAAATTATGATATTAATGGAATTTATCTGGAATTTTCCATCAACGTATATCCTTTTTATATGTTTTTTGGAGCTCATGACATTGATGACATGTCTCAATTGTCCCTTCTCTTCATAGCTAATGGAAAAGTTGATCTGAATAAAGTGATGGATGGCGTGAAAGCTGTCACAGGTGATTGAGAAGTTAATGTAAACATAGGATCCTAATTTTTACAGAACTGTTTTCCTTCATGCCTTAATTGCTAGGCTAATTCTATCATTTTTACCTCCTATTTGTTTAAGGTTTTCATAATCAGTAGCCCAGAAATTGAAGAATTTTCTGATGTATTCTTCACGAATACACTTCATTTTCCTTATTTTAAGACAGCCAAAATGTACAATAAAAGGTGAAATGAATCTTTGGAAAAGTCCCTGGTAATTACTTAAAGGAGAGGTGATACATTCTTCATGTCAATAGAATTATGAAGATGAGCCATCTGCAGCTTGAAAATTGACAAAAGGGATCTATAATACCCACTTTGTGTCATTGTCATTTTGAGTATGTTAGTCCAAGCCTCCCAAGAAGCAAAAGCCGGGGCAGGGTTAAACATGCCAGGACATTATTAGGGGAAATGCCTGCGTAAGAGAAAATAAGGAGGATGCCTGAAAGGCTGGGAGGCTGTCAGACTGCAGGGCAAATCTGTCACCAGGTGAAGGAAAGAGGAAGAAATGTTTGGGCGGAAGCATCCTAGATTGTCATGCAGTCTGAGGAGGGCCTGGCAAAAGTGCTTTCAAGAATCCTCTGGTTAGAATCACCATCCTGTATCTTCCAGGAACAGGGCTCCCCTAGTATCTTGGCTGCACTTGTGATTGGCCAGTGCCAATGATACATATGGCATTAGTGCAAAAAAACGCAGGTTAATTTCAAAGCAGAAGGTGGGGCCCTTGGTTAATTATGTTCTCCATAGTTGGAACTCCTGTGGATACATTCTCATGACCACCGTTGAGAGTGCCATCTCTCTCTCTCTTGTTTTTTTATTAAGTATAATTTATTGTCAAATTGGTTTCCATACAACACCCAGTGCTCATCCCAACAGGTGCCCTCCTCGATGCCCATCACCCACTTTCCCCTCTCCCCTACCCTCGATCACCCCTCAGTATTGTTCTCAGTATTTAAGAGTGACAGTGCCATCTCTTATTAGCCTTTAGAAAGCTGGGGCACCTGGGTGGCTCAATCGGTTAAGCGTCTGACTTCAGCTCAGGTCACATCTCACGGTCCGTGAGTTGGAGCCCTGCGTCGGGCTCTGGGCTGATGGCTCAGAGCCTGGAGCCTGCTTCTGATTCTGTGTCTCCCTCTCTCTCTGCCCCTCCCCCATTCATGCTCTGTCTCTCTCTGTCTCAAAAATAAATAAACTTATTTTAAAAAAGGCAATTATGTTTCCATAAATGACATTATCTCCATGTATTTGGGCAGAGCTCAGTGATCATTACTTTCCCCAGCTCATAATCCTATTGTTTTAGCATCCTAATTTAGTTTAATTATTTGCAATAATTTGATTGTACTTAAATTCCATGTATGTCATTGTTTTAATCTTTTTATTAAGGAGAAAATGGTGATGTCAATAGCGTTAAAGCTGTTCTGGGAAACATGGGGATCGAGCTCAAAGGTAAAGAATGCTTGGAGCTGGTGAAAACTCTTCCTTTTAAGGGTAAGCATTTTAAATATTGATGTATTCAAAGAGAGGTTTTTTTTTAAGTTTATTTATTCATACTGAGAGGGTGAGAGCATGTGTGAGTTGGGGAGGAGCAGAGAGAGAGGGAGAGCGAGAGAATCCCAAGCAGGCTCCGCACTGTCAGCATGGAGCTGGACTCAGAGCTCGATCTCACAACCCGTGAGATATGACCTGAGCCAAAACCAAGAGTTGGATGCTTAATTAACTGCGCCACCCAGCTGTCCCCAAAAAGAAGTTTTAGATTTCTGTGTCTGCGAGAAGCTCTAAAATTATCTCCATTTCCTAAGTTCTAGGATATAGAAAATCCATTTCAAAAAAAAAAAATTTTTTTTAGAATGTCCACTTATACCTGAAATGAATCCCTAAGTGGTTTTACTTTTAGATTAGGAAGCAGCATTTCCATTACGATGGGTCTTTTTATCAATAGTGAAAAACAAAAAAGGAAAAAACAAAGGTTAAACTGGGATTTGTGAAAGAGGAAAGGATTAATAATTGGAAGTGAATAAAGGCAGGATTGGGAAGAAGAACAGAGGTGTGCATGATGTGCTAAATTTCACCCGATTTTCTCTCAAATTTTATTAAAATAAGAGAAAACTCTCGAAAAGTCATTTTTCCTAATTTCTCTCTGATTTTCCACATTTCTCTGTGACTTAAATTCTGCCTTTTCTTATAGATGATGACAAGATCTTTCAAAACAGGTTGCTAGAAGTTGTGATGTCTCTAAAAGGTACGTGAGCAGCATAATGAGAGTGCAGACCAATATGGAATCCTTGCTTTTATACTGTTTCCAAGGTATTAGTGGTTGCTGCTATACTGATCATATATACTGATTGCAAATTTATGCTCCACTGAAGATCAAGCTTCACGTTAGCTGCTGATCTTTTACTTTATATCTAGGAAGAAAGCCTTCTACTTTCTCAAGATTCTTCCAAATTTTTCAAGAGAAAAAATACCAGATTTCAAGTTTGCATAGCAAAATGTGACAGACAAGATTAGCACTGATTCAGGGAATTTAATCAGCTGCAGATAAATACTAAACTGGGAATTCAGTCATCAAAACTAATTGTTTAGAAGTAAAAAATGTTTGCCTCCAGAACTAGAATTCACTTAGCATTTATTCAATGGTATTTAAAACTTTGTATTTTATAGTCTGATCCCCAAGACAAATCTCACGAGAAGTGACCTTCGTTCTAATGTCATAGTTGACTTTCTCTATAGGCATAATAAGGTCCTTAGTCTCTTGTTCTAAAATTGGTGTGGTTTTTTTTTTCACATTTTAGAACAAGGATTATTAACCTTACTACTAAGGGGGGTCTGTGAATAGGCTTTAGAGAATATATGACCCCCCCCAAAAATGATATGTAATCTTTGTGAACACTAGCATATAGCTCATGAAATTCACAACAGGGCATGTGTCTCTAAAAGCTTTATGAACCTCTTTTTTGAAGTTACATAATTTTCTTCATGGACTCTCTTTCCTTAGATGGGAAAGTCAATGTCAACGACTTGAACGCAATACTGGATAATATGGGAATAAAGCTCTCAGATAAGGAACTTGAGGGTCTGACTCAAAATCTCCCTGGTGATGGTGAGCAAGTTTCCAGATACCATAGTTCCATGTTGGGAGAGCTTGGACAACAAAGGTTGCGAGGGAAAGGGCCCTTAGGAATGGTAATCTACACTGATAGTAGGAAGCTATAAGTATGGGCAAAGCATGTAAACAGCATATAAGCAGCCAGCTACCAAGTCACTGTGAAAACATTGCCCTTTGTATGAATGTCTTTTATGTTCTTTACCCATATTATGGTCACTAGAAGACAGTCTTCCACATTTTAAAAAGAAAGATGCAGGCCACTTAGATGACGGTACTTCTGAATTTCTTCCCATTACTAATGCATATAGCTTTGAAATGGTATAGAACTATAAGTAAAATTAATATTTTTGAAATGGCATGTTTTTATGTTTAGGCTTTTCTTTCTAGTATTAATGAAGACAATGAAAACTGAATAAATTAATAGCCTAGAAAGATATTATTCAGTAAATAGTTCTTCTTTTTTTTTTATTTATATATGAAATTTATTGTCAAATTGGTTTCCATACAACACCCAGTGCTCATCCCAAAAGGTGCCCTCCTCAATACCCATCACCCACCCTCTCCTCCCTCCCACCCCCCATCAACCCTCAGTTTGCTCTCAGTTCTCAACAGTCTCTTATGCTTTGGCTCTCTCCCACTCTAACCTCTTTTTTTTTTTTTTTCCTTCCCCTCCCCCATGGGTTCCTGTTAAGTTTCTCAGGATCCACATAAGAGTGAAACCATATGGTATCTGTCTTTCTCTGTATGGCTCATTTCACTTAGCATCACACTCTCCAGTTCCATCCACGTTGCTACAAAAGGCCATATTTCATTTTTTCTCATTGCCACGTAGTATTCCATAGTGTATATAAACCACAATTTCTTTATCCACTCATCAGTTGATGGACATTGAGGCTCTTTCCATAATTTGGCTATTGTTGAGAGTGCTGCTATGAACATTGGGGTACAAGTGCCCCTATGCATCAGTACTCCTGTGTCCCTTGGATAAATTCCTAGCAGTGCTATTGCTGGGTCATAGGGTAGGTCTATTTTTAATTTTCTGAGGAACCTCCACACTGCTTTCCAGAGCGGCTGTACCAATTTGCATTCCCACCAACAGTGCAAGAGGGTTCCCGTTTCTCCACATCCTCTCCAGCATCTATAGTCTCCTGATTTGTTCATTTTGGCCACTCTGACTGGCGTGAGGTGATATCTGAGTGTGGTTTTGATTTGTATTTCCCTGATAAGGAGCGACGCTGAACATCTTTTCATGTGCCTGTTGGCCATCCGGATGTCTTCTTTAGAGAAGTGTCTATTCATGTTTTCTGCCCATTTCTTCACTGGGTTATTTGCTTTTCGGGTGTGGAGTTTGGTGAGCTCTTTATAGATTTTGGATACTAGCCCTTTGTCCGATATGTCATTTGCAAATATCTTTTCCCATTCCGTTGGTTGCCTTTTAGTTTTGTTGGTTGTTTCCTTTGCTGTGCAGAAGCTTTTTATCTTCATAAGGTCCCAGTAATTCACTTTTGCTTTTAATTCCCTTGCCTTTGGGGATGTGTCGAGTAAGAGATTGCTACGGCTGAGGTCAGAGAGGTCTTTTCCTGCTTTCTCCTCTAGGGTTTTGATGGTTTCCTGTCTCACATTCAGGTCCTTTATCCATCTTGAGTTTATTTTTGTGAATGGTGTGAGAAAGTGGTCTAGTTTCAACCTTCTGCATGTTGCTGTCCAGTTCTCCCAGCACCATTTGTTAAAGAGACTGTCTTTTTTCCATTGGATGTTCTTTCCTGCTTTGTCAAAGATGAGTTGGCCATACGTTTGTGGGTCTAGTTCTGGGGTTTCTATTCTATTCCATTGGTCTATGTGTCTGTTTTTGTGCCACAGTAAATAGTTCTTAAGTAAGCATATATAAAGTACTTAAGATAATGCCTGGCACATAGTAAGTTAGGATTTATTATATTTATTCCCACATTGTTTTTCACGATATTTCACGAGTCTTTTATATCTCATTATGACTTTAATTTTCTTTTGCAGTTGATAGGAGGACTTCTCCTAAAACACCGATGAAGGAACTGCAAACTTTTACAGGTAAATGAGAAGTTGATGTAAATCTAGGGTTTCGGTCCTTTATAATAGTTTTTTTCAGTGGTATTTCTGGTATCTTATAAATTCTGATGTTTTATTTTTAAATATATGAATCATGGATTGACATTAGGAAAGTTTCTACACTAGGATACAAGACTATATGTCAATTTTAAATCCTAAGTTTTCTGTTACTTGTGCAAGTAATATGCTTCGGGTCACAAATGTTTAAATGAAAAATATCTAGAAATGTATAGAAAATGGCATGGTGAAGCTTAGAAATGATCAAGATAATGTATTCCTGATATCATCAATAATTCTTACCAAAGCAAATGTTTTTGAAGAATAATTTATATAAGAATCTGCGTTATCTTAATTCACTCATCAGATTTTATTCTGAAAGTTGTTTTTTTCCAGCTTTAGGAAAAAAGGTCTTCAATTTATAATAAATGTGGTATTTTATTACCATAAGATACCATAAGATATGCTCATAAAGATATGCTTTATTACCATAAGATATGCTCAAGGGTTCTGCAATTGAGAACATCTTCGCCTAACACCTCATCTTGATATTAGGATATCATTAAACTTCATAGAACATATTTTACAACTTGATATAATACCAGAGTTCCAAAAGCTTATATGTCTATTGTTCCCTCTCTTAAAAGATGAGAAGGTCGATTCTAATGACCTGAAAATTTTCCTGGGAAGCCTGGGGATTGAGCTCACAGATCAGGAAAAAGAGAAGCTACTGAAAACACTGCCAATTGACGGTGAGATTGATAGAGGTGTCATGGAGGTCTTTTGTTGGTCTTTAGGTCTGTGTAAATATTTCCAACTTTGTTTCTATTTATTTTTCTCCAAAAGTATAAAAGAAAAAATATTAAATTGAGTTCTAAGTATATAGAAACCTGTCACTGTCGCTTAGAATTTATATTGGAAGTTAAATAACCCTTTAGACAAGAGTTGACATTAACAGCTAAACATATTGTTACCTATCAAGCTACTAATTTGTTCATATCATGAGAAGAGAAAGAAAAAGAAAGATTGGAGATCCATGACAAAAAAATAAAGATGGGAAGCAGAAATTTAAAAGCAAAGGGAAGCTATACTCATGTTTGAGCAAGGAGACTTCCTCAGGTACTGGAATAAAGAGGTTTGTCACAAGGAGAGAGGTTTCTGTTTCCAAACTTCATTATATTAGATGAAATAAACTAAAAATTAGAGACAACTCTTCTTAAAATGTTATTTTTGAAATTATTTATTTAAATTATTATTTATTTCACACCATTTTTGTGATTTCATGTTAATTTCCCCATTGCATGAATTATGGCTTTTCTTACAGCTGGAAAGGTATATCACAACAGGTTGCTAAAGGGTGTGAAATCTCTCAATGGTGAGTAAGACCCAATTAAAAGTCATACTGTCTGACATTCCCCAACTTGACACTTTTATTCCAATTATGAATTCTGGCTCCTCACTTTGGTATCATTCCTTATTTATGATTCTTGCAGTCTACCCACATTTTAACTGATAACAGCGTATATTTTATCCTGTAGGAAGTTCCATATGGAACTTGCATTTTTTTTCAACTCTGTACACCCCTTCTCCATGCACGAAAAAATCACTTCACCTTAAACAAACAAACATAATAAATAAATAAATAGAAAGTTGATATGCATGCAGAATTTTGGCATAATACACTTTTTTTTCATGTTCCTACCTTCTGTCTTTCCTAAGGGGGAAAGGTTCATGTAAATAACCTGGACAACACCCTTAAAAAATTGGGACTTGAGCTCACGGAAGAGGAACTTGCAAAGCTGTCAAAATATCTACAAGTTGATGGTGAACACTACAGATGTCCTCAGGCCATTTTTTAATTTTTCCTTTATATCTGATATGTTTGAAAATAGATTTGACAGATACATGTTAGAAAGCTTGGAGGAGAGCCCAATTTTATTTTTTTAACTTAAGTCTTTAATTTTAATTCCAATATAGTTAACATAGAAAATTATATTATTTCAGGTATACAATATATCAACAATTCTATATATATGTGATAAGTATACTCTTTAGTCCCCATCACCTGTTTCACCCATTCCCCCACCCACCTCCCCTCTGGTAACTACCAGTTTGTTCTCTATAGTTAAGAGTCTACTTCTTGGTTTGTCTCTCTCTTCTTTTTTTTTTTTTTGTTTACTCATTTTGTTTCTTAAATTTCACATATGAGTGAAATCATATAGTATTTGTCTTTAACATTTCTCTTAGCATTATACTCTTTAGCTCCATCCATGTTGTTGCAAATGGCAAGATTCCATTCTTTTTTAAGGCTGAATAATACTCCATCACACACACACACACACACACACACGCACACGCACACATGCACACACACACACACATACACACACACATATGTGCTACGTCTTTATCCATTCATCTATTGATGGACACTTGGAGGAGAGCCCAATTTTAAAGTCAGAATAAATCTTGGATCTTCATTACAATTAACCTAAAACAGCATCATCTTTCCGTAAATATACCAAAAACTGCAGAGGGTGCTGTCAGGACTCTAATAGCCTAAATAATAAGAAAGCAAAATAATAGGGATATGAAAATCTATTTATAGAGAAGTCAAGCCATTCTTCTATCTATCCTTCTGTCTAATGAAATCTTCACTCGAAAATGTGTTCAAAGATTTTTATCATAGTGCATGAGACCTTCAAGCTCCATCTGCCTGTGTGGACATATCTTCTCTCATTTTTCTACTGTTCAAGCCATGTTGAGCTGCTTGTAGTTTCACATACATAGTATTGATGTCCCTGGACATTTTTCTCAACTTCTCCTCCATGTGAAGTCTCTTCCATCCTTCCATATTTCATATCAACTGCTCTGATACATTAATGTAGTTCACACACATCTCCTGCAGGAAGCAATCTTAGAACATACCAAGCTGGATTAGTGGTCCCTTCCTCAGCTGTTTGTTGGTACATGAAGTAAAGTTACCAGAATACCTGGCCTACTCCAATAGTATCTTCAGCTATGGCTTATAATGGCATCCAAAATACTAGGAAGAGCACACTTTTCCTGACCCAGTTTCTAGTATACAAGAGACCTTTGTATTAATGGAGATCATCTTAACTCCCTGAGATCCAGGCATTTTCTAAATGGTCTCAGGTAAAATGAAGATGTAAGGAATTTTTAATGGAATTGTTTCCTTAAAATATATGTCTTAAATTTGTCTTCTGGGCTTCTGACATTATTTTCATTGTCCCTTTTCTTGTAGCTAATGGAATGGTTGGTCTGAAAGAGGTGATGGATGGAGTAAAAGCTACTACAGGTAAGAGAGAAATTATGAATCTAAAACATTTAGTATTTATAATAATTATATTTCATCATTATTCCTCAATTGCCATATTAGTTATGGCATTTATTTGTTCATTAAATTACTAGCAACTCATTTGTTTTCTGGTATATTTTTTATTTGTATATTTTGCTCTTCTCTTTTTTAGAATGGCCAAACTCTGTACTAGTGAAATAATATATGAAGTAAAATTTTGATAAAGACTACAGATAACTGACAAAAAATGAGACTAACAGATCTTACCTTATTTTATACATTTATTTGAATAAGTAATTTATAATATTCCAATTGAATAGCAGATACATAATGTAAATCTCACAGGGTTCAGAGTTGCCTTGCCATTGTCATTGTGACTGTGACTTCTTTTATTAGCACTTAGAGATCAAATTCTTTTTCTGTGAAAGTCATCGTCAGTATATTTGGAGAGGTCTCATTGGCCTATGCTCTTTATTCTATACCGATTTAATCTACATAGCCATAGATTAATTTTCCCTGTTTGGAGTCATTAGATGATCCTTTAAATTCGTATATGTAATGATGTCTATTTTTTTAAGGAGAGGAGGTTGATGTCAAAGATGTGAAAGCTATTCTGAAAAACATGGGAATAGAGTTCACAGATAAGGAACGTTTGAAGCTGCTGAAAAATCTGCCTTTCAACGGTAGGCATTTATATACTGATGTGACCTTAAAGTCTTCTTTGAAGCTTTTAAAGATTTTTTAATTTAAATTCCAGTTAGTTAACATACAGTGTAATACTAGTTTCGGGTGTACAATTTGGTGATTCAACACATCCACACATCACCCTGTGCTCATCACAAGTGCCCTCCTTCATCCCCATCACCTGTGTCACCCTTCCCTCACCATCTTCCCCTCTGGTGACCATCAGTTTATTCCCTATAGTTAGGAGTCTGTTTCTTGTTTTGCCTGGCTTTTTTACCCCGTGTTTGTTTTGTCTCCTCTTAAGCTTTTTTTTTTTTTTTTTTTTAGAAACTCAAACTATCCCCATTTGCTAAGATGCAACAGTAAATAAACAAACACATACCAAACAAAATAATTTAAATGTTCACTCATTCTAGAGGGAAATTTCCATCTATGCAGTTTAACTCTCTGTTTTGGAATAATCATCCCCATGATGCTGACTCATGCCATCAAGGGGACTACATTTCTGAGGCTACCCTTACCTTTTTAGATACTTATTGGCAATTGTGGGAAGCAACCAAGGGAAAGAAGTGGTGTTAGACTAGAAGGGGATAAAAGGTCAGATGTGATATTTTCCAAAAAAGCTGTGCATGTTATAGAGTGCCTTCTATGCTAAATTTTAGATAGACTTACCATATTATAAACTTTCCCTAATTTTCTCTCAAACTTTGTTTTAATGAGGGAAGTTTCTAGGGCAAATCATGAAAATCTCAGTTTTACTGAAGTTTTAGTGAATAGCCACATCATTTCTCTATGACCTTAATTGTGTTCTTTTTTATAGATTATAACAAGGTCTTTAAGAACAGGTTGCTAGATGGTGTGAAGTCCCTTAAAGGTGAGTGAGAAACATAATAAGAATACAAATGAATATGAGATCTTCATTTTATACTGTTTCCAAGATGTGAATTTGAATGCTGCCATCTGTCATATGTACTGATTGCAAATGTATGCTTTTTTGGACCTCAATCTTTATTTTAGCAGTTGAATCTGATGTTCTATCTTGGAAGTAAAGCACCACACTTTCTTGTCATTTTCGAAATTTTCAGGAAGAGAAATATCAAATTTCATGTTTACATGGGAAAAAATATAAATGATTAGCAGTGATCCAGAGAACGTAATAAATAGAAAAAGCTAAATTGGCAGTTCATTCATCAAAAGTCAACCTACTATTGTTTAGAACTAAATAATGTTTGCCTCCAGTACCAGAATTCCCTAAGCATTCACTGAACACCATTTTTTCAACCAGATTTTTTTTTTTAATTCATTAAGAAAATCGAGGCTGGCAAGAGTGATAGCCCTCAGCTTTACATCTTCAATCCCTCCCTATTCAGGTATCTTTAAGCACACCCATGTTAGTATAAAGGATGAGTGAGAAGTCCCTCTTCCTCCTCAAAGCTTACCAGGATGCCCTTGACTCCACTGTCTCCCGTATCTTTTAAGACCTTGCCCCACTGGCCATTTTCAACCTCTTCAGCCCATTCACGTGTTCCACATACACCATCCTATAAAATAAGCAAACTAGAACTCTCCACACCCCTTTTTGGCCACAACTCAATCTCTTTCTTCCCTTTTTCATCCATTTCTTGAGAGACTTTTCTGTACTCTGAGCCCATATTTCTGTACCTTATTCTCAAACTAATTTCAGTATTAAATGCCATTTAAAACCTTGTGTTTCTGTAGGCTGGTCCCCAAGACAAGTCTCAAGGGAAGTAGCCATAGTTCTAAATTTGTAATGGACTGCTTAAAATATTTTGTCTCTGTGCTAAAATTGTTGAACATCAATTTAGTTTTTTCACTTTAGAGCAAACATTTTCTGTTTGGTCCGAAGCAAATTTTGTGAATAATGATCTACTGCTTAAGAAATTCACAAGGGGGGGGGGGGGGCGCCTGGGTGGCGCAGTCCGGTCGGTTAAACGTCTGACTTCAGCCAGGTCACGATCTCGCGGTCCGTGAGTTTGAGCCCCGCGTCAGGCTCTGGGCTGATGGCTCGGAGCCTGGAGCCTGTTTCCAATTCTGTGTCTCCCTCTCTCTCTGCCCCTCCCCCGTTCATGCTCTGTCTCTCTCTGTCCCAAAAATAAAAAAAAATAAAAATAAAAAAAGTTGAAAAAAAAAAGAAATTCACAATGGGATATGTGTATCAAAAAAGTGTAAGAACTTCTCTTTTGAAGTCATTTAATATTCTTTATGGACTGTCACTTTTCTTAGGTGGGAAGGTCAATATGAACAACCTGGGCTCTGTTCTGAACAACCTGGGGATAAAGCTTGCAGATACGGAACTTAAAGATCTGGCTGAAAACATGCGTGTTGGTGGTAAGCATATTATCATATACACTAGTTAACCCCGGAGAGAGGTTAGTTACAAGAAACTTGGGTGGGGGGGGGTGGGGCGGGGAAATGCCCTTTTTCATAGGGAGAAGGGAAGGCCCAAGAGCAGTGTGAGACACCATATCAATGACTAAAACACAGAGAATGTCATTTCAGTTTATGAGTATCCAGTTAACAAAGTCAAAATTAAACCAGTTTTCTATATGTGTGATATGTATGACTTTTATGTTCTCTGTAAGTATCATGTTTAGTAGTTGAGTCTTTCCAGTTTTAAATACAAGAATGCAGATTCTTTAGACACATTCACTTCTTTTTTTTTTTTTTTCAACGTTTTTTATTTATTTTTGGGACAGAGAGAGACAGAGCATGAACGGGGGAGGGGCAGAGAGAGAGGGAGACACAGAATCGGAAACAGGCTCCGAGCCATCAGCCCAGAGCCTGACGCAGGGCTCGAACTCACGGACCGCGAGATCGTGACCTGGCTGAAGTCGGACGCTTAACCGACTGCGCCACCCCGGCGCCCCTAGACACATTCACTTCTAAGTAACTTCCCCTTACTAACACAAATAAATTTGAGATATTATAGGCCAAACTGCACCATTGCGATTGCGTGGTTTTCATGTTTAGAATTTTCTTGTTATTCATGCTTGTCTTAGAATAAAAGTGGAGTAGAATAATAATCTAAAAAGTGTGTTCAAAAATATTTGTTTAAGTAAATATTAGCAATTATGATGGGGCCTGACACATAGTTAAGTGCAACTGTTATCAACTGTTATAGTTCTTCCCATGTTTTCCCACAAACTTTTGTATTATATCTAGAATGTAATATTTGAAGTCTATATAATATATGAGATCCATAATATATGGGATCTATAATATACTGCGATTTTATCTTCTCTTATAGTTGATGAGAAAATTCCTCTAGAAACACTGATGGAAAATATCACAGATTTTACAGGTGACTGAAAAGTTACTATAAAATTAGGATTCCAATTATCGACATTAAATTTTGGTTTTTGCTAATATTTCCTGGTACTTCATCACTGACTTGTAAATTCTGACATTTCTCTATATTTATTAATGAAATATTTGCTTCTAGTGTTACATGTATTGATATAAAGTTATCTGATTTTGCAATGAAATTACCATACTATTTCTTGCTTTCAAATTCTACAATCTCTGTTGTTTATGCCAATAATGTAATTCACTTCACCAGTGTTTAATAACCACAGTATAGTATGACACAGCAAATTAGAGAGTGAAGCCTAAAATTGATGGAAGTAATGAATTTATTGTATTTATCATATAATTCTTATTTTTTAAATTAAAATACTTTTTCAAAGAAAAATTCATATAAGCATCTATTTTTTTAATTAATATATCAAATTTCATTCTGAAAGTAGTCTGTCCTGATTTTAGAAGACTCTCTTGTTCACATTAAGAAAATAAATTTGACCTATCATCTACATTGATTCTGTAGTTGAAAATGTTTGTTTGTTTTTATTACTGTAGTTTTCAGTCTGAAAACAAGGAGATGGTATTATCCTAAAATAACTTTTTTCATTAGAAATAACTACTATTATCTGGAGGTGCCTGGGTGGCTCAGTCAGTTAATCATCCGACTTCGGCTCAGGTCATGATCTCACAGCTTGTGAGTTCAAGCCCGCATCAGGCTCTGTGCTGACAGCTCAGGGCCTGGAGCCTGCTTCAGATTCTGTGTCTCCCTCTCTCTCTGCCCCTCGCCCACTCGCTCTCTCTCTCAAAAATAAGTGATAAAACATTTAAAAACTTAAAAAAAAATTATTACTGCTATCTGAAATGAAGATGTATACCAAATTTCTTATTTTCAAAGGTGAGAAGATTGAATCTAGTGAGCTAAAAAATGTTCTGGGAAATCTCGGAATTGAGCTCACAGATAAGGAACTAGAGAAGCTGCTGAAAATACTGCCAATTGATGGTGAGTCATACAAGTGTCTGTGGGAGCTTCCAGGGAAATTAGATTTTTACAGATCTGCATGAAAATTTTCACTTCTTCTCAAACATGATGGAACATTTTTAAAAAACTAAAATGTAAGCTACATCTTAAAACAGTAAGTGTCGTTTAGAGTTTATTTTAGAAGCCAAGCAACTCCTCAGATGTAAGTTGCCATCAGAGCCAACAAATGTCTACTGTCTCCCTTCAGGGCTTATACCATAAGAAGGAAAAAGAGAGAGATAAGCGAGCAATGGAAGAAATTAAAAATAAAAGTCAGAATTAAAAAGAAAGGAAAGAGATATTTGTACAGTACAGTAGGCCCACTCAAGGGGACCAGCTTATCATATTGAAAAAGCCTTCTCTTCCTTAATTTCACTGTTACATAAAGATGAAAATTTTAGGTGAAACATTTTTTAAAAAATTTTTAATGTTTATTTTTGAGAGACACAGAGAGTGATAGAGCATGAGCAGGGGAGGGGCAGAGAGAGAGGGAGACACAGAATCCGAAGCAGGCTCCAGACTCTGAGTTGTCAGCACAGAGCCTGACGCGAGGCTCAAACTCACAACTGCGAAATCATGACCTGAGCCGAAGTCAGACGCTTAGCCACCTGAGTCATCCAGGCACCCCATAAGTGAAATATTTATAATGGTACTACTGAATTATCATCCACATATTGTACAAGTAACCCAATATAGCATACAATTAAGTGAATTCTAATGTATTCACCACATTGATCACAACAATCAATTTTAGAACATTTTTATTATCCCAGAAAGATATTCCATACCTATTAACAGTCACCTCCCAATTTCTCCATCTCCCTCAGCCCTGGGCAACCACTAATCTATTTTCTGTCTCCATCAGTTGCCCTATTCTGGATATTCCACATAAATAGAATCATATAATATGTGGTCCGTAGTGACTAGTTCACTTAACATAATGTTTTCCAGGTTTATCTCTGTCCTGTTATGTATTAATACAGTTGACGCTTGAACAACACAGGGGTTAAGAGCACTGACTCCCTGTGCAATCGAAAATCTGTGTATAACTTTTGACTCTCCAAAAACTTAACTACTAATTGCTTACTGATGACCAGAAGCCTAACTGATAACATAAAGTCAATTAACATACATTTTGTTGTTATATGTATTATATACCCTATTCTTACAATAGGTAAGCCAGAGAAAATAAAATGCTAATAAGAAAATCATAAGGTGGGCACCTGGGTGGCTCAGTCAGTTAAGCGTCTGACTTGAGCTCAGGTCATGATCTCACGGTTTGTGGGTTCGAGCCCTGCATGAGGATCTGTGCTGACAGCTCTCTCTCAAAACTAAATCAACATTAAAAAAATAATTTAAGAAAATCCTAAGGAAGAGAAAATACATTTACAGTGCTATACTATAAAAAAAAAAACCTCATATAAATGGACCTGCACAGTTCAAACCTCTGTTTTTTCTAAAGTCAACTGTACTTTGTTTCTTTTCACTGCAGAAAAATAGGCTATTCTATGGATATAACACATTTTACTTATCCATTCATTGGTTGATGCGCATTTGGATTGTTTCCACATTTTAGCTATTATGAATAATTCTCTTATGAACGTTCATGTACAAGTTTTTACATGGATATATATTTTCATTTGTCTTGGGCATATACCTAAGAGAGAAGTTGTTGGGTCATACGGTAATTCTGTGTTTCACCTTTTGAGGAAGTGCAGGCTGTTTTCCAAAGAGGCTGCATTACTTTCCATTTCCACCAGCGGTGTATCAGAGTTCCAGTTCCTCCGCATCCTGGTCAACACTTGTTACTTCTGTCCTTTGATAATATCCTAGTGGGTATGAGGTGGTATCTTATTCTGGTTTCGACTTGCATTACCCTGATTGCTAATGATGTTAAGCATCTTTTCATGTGAATATTGGCTAAACGTATACCTCCTTTGGAGAAAAATCCACTCATAACCCTCATCCGTTTTTAAATTTGGTTATCTTCTTATTATTGAATCTTAGAAGTTCTTTATACATTCTAGATACAAGTCCCTTATATTTTCTAGATATAAGTTCCTTATCAGATACATGATTGCAAAAGTTTTCTCCTGTTCTGTGAATTATCTTTTTACTTTCTTGACAGTGTTCCTTGATGCACAAAAGATTTTTAACTTTGATGATGTCCAGTGTATAACTTTTTTCTTTTGTTGCTTGTGTTTGGGTGTCATATATTAAAAAAATGTCTAATCTAAGGTTAAGAAAATTTACAGTTATGTTTTCTTTCAACATTTTTATAGTTTTAACACTTACAATTAGGTCTTTGATCCATTTTGAGTTACTTTTTGTATAAAATGTGAGATAGGGATCCAAAAGAATATTCTCTTTGCATGTGACTGTCCAGTTGTCCCAGCACCATTTATTAAAAAGACTGTTCTTCCTTCATTGAATGTGTAAGTACCTTTGTCAAAAATCAGCTGACCAAACATTGGAAGGTTTATTTCTGGATTGTAAATTCTATTCCATTAATCTACATATCTAGTTTTATGCCAGTACCTCCCTGTCTTGATTACTGTCACTTTGTAGTTTTTAAACTGAAAAGTGTGAGTCCCCTACTTCTTTTTCCTTTTTAAGATTATTTTTGCTTTTTGGAGCCTGAGCTTTACCATATGAATAGTAGGACCAGCTCAACAGTTTCTGCAAACAAACCAGCTGGAATTTTTTTATAAGAATGTATTGACTCCATGGATCAGTTTAGGAAATATTGTCACATTCACAGTATTATGTCTTCCAATCCATAAACATAGGATGTCTTTTCATTTATTTAGGTCTTCTTTAATCTCTTTCTATAATGGTTTGTAGTCTCCAGAGTATAAGTTTTGTACTTCTTTTGTTAAAATTATTCTTAGGCATTTTATGCTTTTCATGCTCTTGTAAATGAAATTGCTTTCTTAAGTTTTCTTTTCATTTGCTTGTTGCAACTCTATAGCAGCAATACAGTTGGTTTTTGTATGTTGATACAAGACTGCATTTTCTGCTTCTGAAATTATTCAGTTCATGCTATTTTTGTGAAACTCGTATTCATTCTACCATTACATGAATTATGACTTTTCTTACAGCCAATGGAAAGTTATATCGTAATAGACTACTGAAGGCTATGACATCTCTCAAAAGTAAGTAAAAAACGAAATTATAAGGCATGTTATCTAGGTCTCCAGATACACCATCCAAGCATGAATCTTGGCCCTATATAAGCTTTTATTTATAATTCTTCCAGCGTAACTACATCTTACCTGCTGTTAATATACACTTTCTCTTGGCAGGAAGTCCACTGTCTTCTTAGATTTTTTTCAACTTTTTCTCAAGAAGAAAAACCAACCCTGGCAAAAACAAACAAAAAACCCTGGTTGTTATTGAAAAGCAATGGTCAGCTACAATAATCACTAATAAGTCAAGCCAGTAAACAAAAAATAACCCTACTTTTTATGCAGAGTAATTAAGTTAGTGGTCTGCAGTTCTGTGTGTTCCAGCACCTTAACCTCGTTTTACTTTGTAGGCTTGTCCACAAGAATAGACTAAAGGAAATGCAGTTCTGACTCCATTGACTTCCTATTTGAGTCTTTAAGTGGAAAAGTCTATTCGGGATTTCAGCCTTGTCAAAGTGTAATAATAACAGAGGCATGAAATATATTTATCTTTTGTTTCTTTTGTTTTAATAATATGTGGTCATTAAAGTTAATAATAGTTTTCCTAAAAAACATTTTTAAATTTTACTATTATACAACTTTTTTTTTTTCAAATGTTGCTTTACTGTCTCTTTCCTAAGATGGGAAGATTAAAAAGAATTACCTCCATACTAGTTTGGGAAATATGGGAATGGGGCTCACAGATGAGGAACTTGCTGGATTGTCAGGAGACCTACAAGTTGATGGTGAGTACCAAAGATAGCATTCAGGATCTATTTATCTTGATCTTCGATTTAAAGGGGTATCAATTAAAATTATGTTGTGAGACAAATTTAGCTGGACTTTATTATACTCTATAAACAAAGTGTATCTTTTTCTGAGTTCATGTCATTGATTACATGTCTCTTTTGGACTTCTGTAGCAAACGGGAATGTGGATCTGCATGACGTGATGGAAGGAATGAAAGCTATTACAGGTGAGCACAAAGTCACTATAAACCTAAATTCCCATTAGAACGCTAACTATATTTTACCATTAACCTTAAATGCCGTGTTGATTCTGTTACTGTACTCCTTATTATAAATATTTGTCCAGAGTTGGGCTTTGTGGTATTCGTGTTTTGGTAATAAAATTTTAGCTTCAAGTCTTGGTAGGAAGACCCTTACTCTCTTAAAAATATAATCTAGGGGCGCCTGGGTGGCGCAGTCAGTTAAGCGTCCGACTTCAGCCAGGTCACGATCTCACAGTCCGTGAGTTCCAGCCCCACATCAGGCTCTGGGCTGATGGCTCGGAGCCTGGAGCCTGTTTCCGATTCTGTGTCTCCCTCTCTCTCTCTGCCCCTCCCCTGTTCATGCTCTGTCTCTCTCTGTCCCAAAAATAAATAAAAAACGTTGAAAAAAAATATATAATCTAAAAATAACCTTTTTAGAGTCACTAAATTTCCCTCACGAGCCTTTCTCTTTCTGATTAAGGGAAAGTTGACATCAAAAACCTGGAAACCGTTCTAGGTGACATGGGAATCAAGCTCACAGACCAGGAACTTGAAGATCTGAAAGAAAACCTGCCAGTCAGTGGTGAGCACGTGAGATACCATTGGATTTTGAGCTTTGGGTGTTATGTACCGTTAGCAATGAAAGGAATGGAACGAGGGAACTTTTTACGCAGAAGAGGTCCAGATTGTAGATGGGACAAGAACACTGACAAAGAGGTTGAGAATGTAGTATTTGGACACAGGTGGCATGGCCACTAGAAGAGTCTGCGAAGTTCTGAGGACAACAAAGTTTGCCTTTACAAAATGGCCACTTTTGAATCTCATCTTTTTGTTATCAAATTCAAGAGTTGATATTTTATGAAATAGAAAGTCAAATTTACATTTTTTAAATAAGTGTATTTTTAATATTTTAAATCTTTTCTTCTGTTCTATGTTCAAGCATATTCTGAGTAAATATTTGTTGAATGGCTATTTAAAGTGCATAACAAAATGCCCAGTAACAAAATGCTGTTATAATCTGAAGGGAAGGAGAGCGTTCTTATGCTATTTTATATCATTTTATGAGCTTCAAGTTATGTTTTTTTTTTGTTACAGTTGATAATACAGTTGCTCTGAAAACTTTGAAGGATGAAGTGAAAGCTTTTACAGGCAAGAATTTGTTATAAATGATTTGCAACAAATTGTGGTTTACACTAAAAATTTTAATAGCATTTTCTCAAAATTCTACTACTGCTTTACAGATTCACATACTTTCAGTATTCATTTTGATAAATATGTGCATCTACTGATCAACATCTTAATCTAACATTATCTGGGTTTATAAGTAAAACAAAAGGACTATTTCTTCATTGTAAGTCATATATTCTTTGATGCTTTTTTTCAGTAAAAGTGCCTGGCTCTTATTTATACACCCAAACATAGATGATCACAGCAAAAGCAGGGTGGAGCTGTAGAAATAAAAGTCCATTACCAACAGCTAATTACATAGTTTTAACAAAGTAAAGTAAAATATGTCACACTTTGTTAATTGTGTCTTGTATCATACTAACCGTCTCTTGACCTTATTTCTGGATAATTATATGACCAGATTTGCTTCTGTACTATGTGATATCATTCTCAGTGTTAGGGATACATCCCATTTGCTAATATCGAGGGACAAATTCTATTTTTTATTCAGCATTTGACTCTTTTTATTAGAAAATCTTTCACTCCATCTTTCCTTTTCATTCTGGTATCAGAGAAAGGACTAGAGCAGCAAAAGTAAATGTTTAGATCATGTTAAATAATCAGATTGTCTGTTAATAGTTTAACCTGTAACTATTCTGTCTTTTCAAAGGAGAAAAGGTTGATTCCAGGGACCTACAAAATACTCTAAAAGACATGGGGATTGAGCTTACAGACAAGGAGGCCAAGCAACTGAGGAAAACACTGCCCCTTGATGGTAAGTGAATGCCACATAAATGCCACCATGCCTTCCAGGGAACCTGACTTTATGGGTCAATGCGAGCCATTCTTAATCTTTTAGTAGTACAGTTTTGTCTTAAAATGCCATAAATTAATAGAGAAAGGCACTTCTGACTTGAAAAGAAATTCTTTCATTACTTCCTGGAACACAATCTGAAATTCATCACTACATTGCCATATAGTAATCTGAGTGACTAATACTATCCTCTCAGATTGGTATTAGTTTTGCAATAAGAGCAAGGAAACATAATGAAGGAGAAAGAGGATATTAGTAGAATAAAAAGGAAGAAATATTTTAATGTATTTTTTAGAATTGCACCATGGGAGAGTTTAATAAATGTCTCTAATTCCAAAGAATGGGTAAGTTTGTCACTGTGGAAAACATCTATCTATCTATCTATCTATATCTATCTATCTATCTATCTATCTATCTATCTATCTATCTGTCTATCTATCTAGAGCACATGAGCAGGGCAGGGGGAGAGAGAGAGAGAGAGAGAGAGAGCGAGAGAATCTCAAGCAGGCTCCACACTCAGCACAGAGCCTGACATGGGGTTCAGTCTCATGACGGAGATCATGGCCTGATCCCAAATCAAGAGTCAGATCCTTAAGCGACTGAGCCACTCAGGCACCACAAACATTTATATTTTTAAATGTCCATATCGTATAACTATAAAATAGATGCATTTTTAAAGCAAATCATTGAAATGTATCTTTCTACAATCATATAATTTGTAATGTTTTGGTTTTCTGGAGATCTGAATTGTACTTTTTCTTATAGCCCACGGAAAGGTGTTTCAAAGCAGGTTGCTGAAGGATGTGAAGTATAATAAAAGTGAGTAAGAAGCACAAAGATGAGGCATATGAAATATCCTTAAGCATTAAATTTATATCACTAGA